GCGACAACCAAAAGGAGGGCTGCGATTGGGTCGGCGTTCTAGCTGAACTAACGGTACGGGTAAACGCTGTGGTCTTGGTGTGCATGGATTCAACCTCTGCTCATTGGAATATGAGCTGATGTGTTCAAAGGGGAGTAAAAAAAAAGGTTTCAGGCCATGAATGCCTCTATATGTGGTCTAGATATTCAGCCAGCACTGGACCGAGTATCATGGCTAGTTCTTGAAACTGACACTCATATGTGGTGAATTTGTCTTTGGGGAGTTGGCTGGGCGTCACTACTGCTGTCTTGTGCATGCATGCTGTTCATAGATTTGAGGGAGTTAAAAACGGGAAAAAACGTTTAAATTTGAAATTGAAGCTTTACTGAGTCAGTCGTGTTTGCTGAGAGACAAGCTTGATTTTGTACGCTATTCCTACATTCTTAGAGCCATCTGGATATCTGCGACTATGCACTGGTTGCGTGTAGCAACATTGGCTGCACGGAGAAGATGCAGCGACGCCTGCTCAGCGCTCACATTCGCCGCGACTGCCCGTACCGCCAGGACTGCTGTCCGCATTGCAAGACCAGCTTGCGTTCTGCTCTTCTCATTGTAAGTGAAGACTGTGCATTGGTCAGCAGTGGAGTTACCTGGGGGATACAAACGAAATCCTGTGGAACGAGAATCGAGCTCAACTCTAGTCCAGTTTAGCCAATACACCCGGAATAGCTGATACATGTACATGTATACGGATATGCTTTGTAGTAGTATATTTGAAATTTAGGGGGTAGCGCTGAACCCTGGACCCCCCTGGACGCACCCCTGTGTTGCTTGCTGAGCTGTTCCATGACATGTCCGTGACGGCTGCTTACTTCCCATCCAGGCCCACATCCAGAATGACTGCCCGGACGTGGAAGTCACATGCCCCGTGCAAGGGTGTACCAAGAAAATGGCAAGGCACCTCACCACTGAACACATGGACAAGGAGTGCCAGGAAAGAGTGACGTTATGTGCGTTTGGCTGCGAGGAAAAGGTGAGTCGGTCACACTGAATATACAATGTTTATAGATCTCACCCAGAGCGAGTTGCGGCAGCTATTATTCACTTGAAAAGTCATGCACAAGCCTTTATCAAACGCATTGTTTGGACATTGTAGTCAGTGCTGTCTGATGATCGCTAGCGTGTGAAACTCAGTTACTCTGAGTACCAGCTGTAAAGATAGTTTCCCTTCTCTGGACCTGAGATCTTCTAGATCTTCTAGGAACTGTGCTGAATACCATCTGCAGGCCCGTAGCAGCCCCATTTTGGTTGGTCCGGCAAGATCCGACTTCGATGCTCCCCCCCCCCCCCCCCCCCCCGAGCCCACACTCATACATATGCCGGTACATGTACAAAATGTACATGATTGTACTTCGAAGTACATACATTGTATCCAGAGTACATAACCCCACGTGTACTCTTGATTGCACATGTACATGTACATGCATGTAATCGTGACCATGCAGAGTGACATAGGGCGAGAAAAGGAAGAAGGACGTTCAGCATGAGTCAGGAAAAAGGGCATCAGCATGTTGTGTCCGTCCAAACAGAACTTGTTGCAGCCTATGAAGGCATAGCAACCGTATTTAAATGCATGTGATAAAAGAACCAGAATGGACCTTTGGAGGAGGAGAAAGGATATTGCAATGGAAAATCTTTGGTGCAAACTCTATCTAGAAAGAATTGGAGGAAGACAAGAATCAATACATTTCAGGAAGTACAGAGTAGGAACATTCACGGGCATGACTGTCCACATGACCTACAGCAGGGTCATACTCCTGATGACATGTAGGTCTACTACCGGCGCTACTATGTACTACCTCTATGCTACTTATTGCACACATCCTCATCAATGGTACCGGGTGGACATCCTGAGCTGCTCACATCTGTGAGGTTCCGCTTTTTTTTTTTTTTTTTTGGTCGAATATTGGTCCGGCAGCTGCCGGACCTGCCGGACCGCCTGCTACGGCCCTGATCTGAACCATTTGGGACACCATGCATGCTGTCATAAATGATGTCATGTGATGTCAACATGACCCTTGACTGTACGTGTTGCTGTGAGTTTGTTGAGCCTACATATTCGTTTGCCAAGGAATTTGCCAAGTCACCGCAATACTGTCTATATGTTGAGCTTATCACCCTAGCGTACAACAAGCTCACATGTTTCCCCGGCGTGTTTCCTGCTGTTTTGGCTTGTTCTTCTACCTACGCATGTACCTCCATGTTCAGGTTAGACGTGCAGATCTGCCTATGCACATGATGGACCCGGTTATGAACCTGCTGCACGCACAGCATTCCATGAGGCTCAGCGGCCGACTACAGGCCAGCCTGCAAGAATGCCAGTCACAAGTACACCTCCTGCAACAGCAGCTGGATGACAAAGAGAGGGAAAGTAAGCATATTGGTACCAGTTATTGACAACTTCAATAAACTCGGACGACTTCATTTGATACTTTTGAATGCAAAATTTGAACTGTACTGCAAGTTTTGTGGTGTTCAACAAGGTGACACTTTTGGTTACCTTGATGCCATCTATCGCTTTTGCACCTTGTCCTCGTGCACTCTGTTGTGTGAATAGCCCATACGTAGGGTCTTTTCCAGTCTTATCTGGGGGATTTCATGAAGTGTCATCAGCTCGGCAATTCAATAGCCAATTGAGTCATCTTCCCATGTTCCCTCTCCCAAGTAGACTCATGTTCACGGGTAAGGGCATCTTTGCATTTGTTCTAAGGGTAAACGTGGGTGTCCTCCTTTCTGCAGATCAGCAGCTACGTGACGACGTTAAGAAACTGAAGCGTGACGTTCACGGCAAGGACAGCAGGGCACTGGTGAAGATGGAGGAGAAGATTGAGACTTGCCAGCAGCTAAGCCAGCGTAATGTGTGCGCTGTGCGAGATCTGAGCAGCTCACTTCAGACTGTGAAGGTAAGTTGTTGTGAAAGCACCTTCGCGTCATCTCTAGTAGAGAGCATACTGTAAACATGTAATTTTAGGTGCATTAAAATTTCGGTGCCAGAAACCTGCCAGGTTTCCGGTGTAATGTAGAATTAGGTGACCAGCGTTACTTTCACATACAGTGCATACTCTAGTGCCTTTTAGGTGTAATCTAAATTTAGGTGCCTGGTTTCTCTACCGAAATTAACGGAGCTAAAGTTACACCGAAAATTACATGTTTTACAGTATCGATTCAACGAACGTGCAGTGATGGATTGCTCTCACTATCTCAGGAAATCAACTAGAAAGTAACAATACAGTAGTTCTGGATAGCATGAGAAACACATTGGTTCAGCATTCCAGTTGACCAGCAGATGACACAATGTTGGATATACAACCTTCAGTAGTTGAGGGAGTAGAGAAGAGAGGAAAAAAGGAATATTTCTTTGGAATTTAATTTACCCGACTCTTTCTCCTTCTCCATTGCTGGGACTTTCCCTAGTTAAGTTGGAGGCTTTTATCAAGTGTATGCTTGCTGTTCTGTGCGTTCCTTGCCTACAGGAGAAGTCGGAACGACGCTTCACTCAGGAGGACCGCGTAGCGGAGCAGCTAGACTCCCTGGACCTGAGGATGCTGGAGCTGGAGACGACATCTTACGATGGCGTGCTGGTCTGGAAAATCCTATCCTTCAGTCACTTACTGGAGGAGGCAAAGAAGCCAGGTGGCAAGGTAAGATTGTCCCGGGGAGGATAATGAAGAATCCTTGTCCCCGATCGTAGTGTCTTGTTGGTTTGTTGGAGAATCAAAAAGTCGTTCATTGTAGTTACACTGAAATGACTCCAAATGCCCGGAAATGCTTGCATTTGGCTTCAATTTTTTGAAATTTGTCCCAGGGAGGGCCCCGACCCCCCTTCCGTGGCCGCCCCACAAAGTCTGTGCGACGGCCTGAAAGTGGCCATTCAAGTACAACTCTGGCCAGAGAAATCCAACCGTGTGTGCACACTTTTGTTTTTCTCCGTGCTGTGCAGACGTCGCACTACTCCCAGCCATTCTACACTGGTCGTCATGGTTACAAAGCCTGTGCTAGGCTTTACCCCAATGGAGACGGCATAGGTTTCGGTAAGCACCACTGCCCCACTGTCTTTGCTCTTGTCCAACTAAACTGCTTGCTCTGAAAGCAGCAGCAGCAGCAGCCCAGCAGCAATACCAGTGATGACAGTACGAACTAAATCATTGCTAGCTGCATAGGATTCCCCACTGCACTGTATGGCCTCTGCCTGGATGCGTAATCGCCGTCGCTATGACCATGGTGTTGTGCTGCATACATGTCACACTTTCTTCATGACACATTATAACCAAAGCAGTATTTCCCACTATAACTTCAAGCTCATGCACTATGCGATCATCAATGGCACCCTGCAACAGCTTCGATTACCTCGTTATACTTGTACATATGTTCGTCCAGCCGCATTTGTATCCCAGCCAGGGCAGGGTGACAAGGGCAGTGCATATTGAGGGTGCCAAATATGCACGTTGGGTCGGAAACTTGAAGATACAGTGCAAACCGCGAGTCTCTCAAGTGGATGCTTTGATATCACATGTGCATGAGAGAGACCAGAAGACAGGGGTGCAACTTACATTAATTTTGGGCTAATACTGCACCATAGCTATCCTGCTGCAAGGTGGTTTGTTGAACTATTCACAGGAACATTATTCTCTGCTATGTAACCTGTGGTGTCTGCAGGCAAAGCTCTTTCGCTCTTCTTCGTCGTGATGGCTGGCGAGTTTGACTCTATCGTCCCCTGGCCATTCCACCAGCGTGTCACCTTCACACTCTTTGATCAGGCATCCACGTCGCAGCATCACATCTCCGAAACATTTCTGCCAGATATAAACAGCTCAAGTTTCAAGAAGCCGACTTCGGGCATGAATGTGGCCTCAGGTATTGGAATTATTTAGAGAAGAAAATTCACTCGATTTCTAAACTTGGGCTACTTTCTTTAGTGTCATCAATGCCCGGCAGATTTTTGCCGAGACAATTTTCAACCCTCCGTTTGTTTGGGACTTGCGAGGGAGTAAAGTAGGTCTTGCCACATGCACGTCGAAGCAGTCGTCCTTTCTGATACTAGTGCACTATCTGATACTGCGACCATATGTCCAGGAGGTTGGGGTAGCTTAGGTCAAAAAGTTATTTACGTAATAATTTTCCAAATTCTGTGGGCATGCAGTCCATACTGTTTCGGTGGCTCAAATGTTGTTTATCCCCCCCACCACCAAAATCCAAATCTCTATTCTCATGATGGCTTGTGGCCAATAAGAGATTTATTCTCATGATGGCTGAAATTCATGGCAGGTTCAGAACCAACACGCTACTCCCTGCTGCTCCACCGAAGTGAGTGAATTGATTCTGTCGAGCTTGAATTTTCAACTTTCCTGCATGATTTAGTGATGTTCTTACAGGTAAATTCTGTCTTAACACTAGCTATCTCCTCTGTGTGTCTGTAATGCTTTCGTAGGGTGTCCTTCCTTTGTGACGCACACTACACTCAACGCTTCACCTCATGACTACTTAAAGGACGACACCCTGTTCCTACGCATACGCATCGACAAGACCAACCTCTAGCTGCGTCATTGCAACAAGGGACCGAGGGCGCTGGCTCAACCACCACCGTGTGCGCAACCTGGTAATATCAACTCTCAGCAAACGTCAAACGGCTCATGATGCTCTCTGCTGGGCATCATGATTTATGGTTCTGGATCACAGTAAATGTCAATAGTTTGTTCTTAGCTAGTATCACCATGTCATCATCCCTTTCTTGTGGTGCAGAGTAAGTAGTATGGAAACGAATATTCGTGCTCTTTTCTTGTTATCGACAAAAAAACTCCCTTAACTTATCCCAGTTCCGCTGACCATTATTAATTAATCTCCTTTGCCTTTCGGGTATCCCACTGCATCCATGCATTTATCTGTTGTGCCGCGAGCATCACAAGTAGGCAAGCTGTCAAAATCCAACCCTTATTTTTCACTCTATCCCATTGTTCCTTTCACTGATTTCTTCTCTTATCCGAAACTACTCTTTCCTGCCTTATGGCTATGTAAAACATTCTAGCCAGTGAACTTTTTCCACTAAAACAAATTACAGAAATTTGTTAAAACAAATCCGCAATTTCTGTAAAAAAATCCTTTTGCATTGATGAGTGTGTGTGTAGTGGGTAGAAATGGGGAGACATCATCATAATTTGAAAATAATTCCTGTAATTTCTAAAAACAATATTTGAGCAGCAGTTTGGGGAAGCAAGTAAGGGGGGGGGGGGGTTCATCAACCAGCAATTTTTTGCGTATTTGGGGGTTCATCAACCAGCAATTTTTTGCGTATTTTTTGAACCTAGTCAGCTAATATTAGAGTGGTATGCGGCGGTATCAATCAAGCATGGGGAATACAGTGAAAACAATCAATGTGCTGCTGCTTGACTCAGGGTTCTCAATATGGCAAGGAAACTGTGGACAGACAAGAAACTCCCTGCTTTCATCATCCACAGCACTGACTGGTAATCCGTTGAGGCTGCCAGAGCCACTCCACACAATACCTGCTATGGGCTGAGGTCCTTTGGGTCTGGTGAACGAATGACCTGGCAAGATCTCAAAGCCCTGGAGAAGAGAAACCATAAATTTAATAACTGAAAGTAGTCATTCCGAATAGAACACAAAAATGCTGCAGTGCGGGAAATGTTGGACACTTCAGAGCCGACCTAGCAGGGTGGAGTCAAGGCCACAGCACCCAGTCCTGTCGGTCTGGCCATTTCGGAAAAAAATGTTTGTGCAACATAGGGTTTTTTCCGGGCCTAATTGATTTTCCAGAATTTTTGGATTTCTGGATAAAAGGAAGGACAAAATGTTACGAGTTCTGACTAACTGTCCACCATAGTCACCAGATCATATACAAAGTCAGTGAGGGTGACAGGGCACAACACCGACAGGGAGTAATATTCGGGCTCAACCTGAGTGAGACATTCAACAACCTGACCCCTACCTCCAACACATCTGCAAGGCGCAAACCAACAACTTTAGAACTTGGAAGGCTCAGGTTAGGAAAGGTCCAATGAGGGGAAGGAATCGTAACATTTTTCCTTGATTTTAATCCATGATTACAATGGCTCACCATAAGAGTTAAAAAAATTCAACATTTCTTTCAACTCCCTCCACTATTATAGACTGTTCAACCTTTCTAACTTTTATAAATGGTTTTGTGGCAGAAAAAGACTTGAAGTGATATTAGATATTGTTTTCAGACGTGGATGGGCTTGTCACTCTCCCCATCCTGTCTCCATCCTGCCCGCGTCCCAGACCCCCTCCCCTCCCCATCCCCATCCAAGGCCGCTTTCACCACTCAGCCACTCACCTCTCCATAGAAGTCATGATAGAAAAGACGTGTCTGACGGCCCCAGTCACCGCTGGACAGAACCTGACATTTTGTATGCTGAACACATCCAAACACACACACACACACACACACACACACACACACACGCACGCACGCACGCACGTACGCACACACACACACACACACACACACACACGTGCGCGCACGCACACACACACACACACACACACACACACAATTCCCTAAGTATCGCCGAAGTCGCGACAACCTCTCCTGCACACTGCTGTCCCCAGTGCGGGCTGGAGAACTAGATGGTTTGGAGGCTACAACGTTGTGAATGGCCAACGATCTTAAGCGTCTATTCTGCACCTTCATGTGTGACACTGACTCATGCTGCTGCCTGGTGCTCACGAGGTGTTTGTTGTGCTGGAAGCGGACGTCACTGCAGATTGGTATCTCTAGTGGTGTTTAGGCTCGAAGATCACTACAACAATGCAGTGCTCTCGGAGCACAAATTCCATTAGCCTACTCAAGCTCAACTGATGAGGGGGGAATTCCCCAAAACACTGTGTACTGAGCAGGGAGTGGTGCTTTCTTGCAGGGTTTTACAAAAGGAAGGTTCTATAGACTTCTCATGTGCTCTGAATGGCAGTCGTGAGTCAGTCAAGTGAGATTCGAGTCGGCAGGAAAAGTGCGAGCTCCCACTTAGAGAGCGACACACAATTCCCTAAGTATCGCTGCAGTCGCAACAACCTCTTCTTCACCTCATGAATGAAGAACGATTATATTTTAAAATCACTTTTCTTGTTGTGATTGTTGTGATTGGTGTGATTGGTGTGATTGGTGTGATTGGTGTGGTTGGTGTGATTGGTGTGGTTGGTGTGATTGGTGTGGTTGGTGTGGTTGGTGTGGTTGGTGTGGTTGGTGTGGTTGGTGTGATTGGTGTGGTTGGTGTGATTGGTGTGGTTGGTGTGATTGGTGTGGTTGGTGTGGTTGGTGTGGTTGGTGTGATTGGTGTGGCCCAGAGACAGCTTGGAGAGCGTTGAGAGGATGTATGGACACGAATGAAATGATCTACACAACATAAGTGACATTACCCATTTCGATTCAAAGTCAGGATCCGTGTTCATCTCCCAGTCGATGGTCTCTCTCAGCAGCGCCTCGTCGTCAGCCAGGCCACGGAGATGCGTGCTAGACCTGCACCCAGCATACAATACAGGCCAGAAACAATATAATATAGACAAGTACTAACATACTTTTAAAAGTGAACATTCTGGATAACTGAAGCTAAATTATCACCAATCAATCCACACGTCAACAAGATTATTACCGGTATGCAACATTCACAAACACTATGGTTGTACCAAGCAAGCCTAGAAGCAGCTCCTGGGAGGGGGGGGGGGGGGGGTCACTGGGCAGTACAGCCTCAGGTTGCTTACATGACCAATCATTTCCCCCATGCCTAATTTCTAGTGGTGTGCACCGGTAGTCAGGTGCCCGTGCTACCCATGAGGACCTCGGGTAGGATAGTACTGTACTCGAAAACCCGAAGTCGCAGATGACATCATGTACAGTGCACGTGTACAAATTCACGTATTACTCCGCATGCCCAGTGTGTAATAGAAGGGGTGCTTTGTGATGTTACCATGGAAACATTACCCGATATGGTACCCATGCTACCTATGGAAAACTACCCGAACCCGATACCTGAAGAAAATGCTACCCGACTCAGCCCTACTAATTTCAGTATCATGAGAGATGCATCTTTAGCTCTGTGCTGTATCATATCTGCCATGACCTCTGAGGACTCACTCACTGTACCAGTGGCACCGGCCCTTGCAAACCTTACCGTAGTGACTCCTTGGCTTCTCCTTGTAATGCATGACCCAGCCTGTAGGCAACCAATATACAATTTACTAGTAAGCCGGGTTTCACTCCAACAGAATGAAAACAAAATTAATAGTGATGTAACGAATAATCGATTATTCAAGTTTCCTCGATCTCTTGGACCTCAACGAATAATCGATCGGATAAAATCTAGGTCGAAGGTTTGAAAGTTCGAATATTCGCGGGCAGACGAAGTCCGTGCGCTGCATACCGCGCACGCGACTCTAGATCTCTCGACTTGAATGCATGAACTGTGTACTGTGTTGCAGACAACGACTAGACTACGCGCGGTAGGCCATGGTAGACTCTACTGTGACTCGAGTCTGAACGCTTGTGTGCTGTGTTTGCTACATGTACACTTTTCTGTGGAATAGTAGAATAATCGTTCATTCGCCTGAGTGGTATTCGCTAGATTATTCGTTCGTAAAATACATGGTTCGTTACATCACTAAAGATTAACAAATACAGGGGTCTGTGTGAAGTCACCTGCCACCACTAGGCATTCGACTCACATGTGCACTGGCTCACTGGCTCACTGGCTCACTGGCTCACATGTGCACTGGCTCACTGGCTCACATGTGCACTGGCTCACATGTGCACTGGCTCACTGGCTCACTGGCTCACATGTGCACTGGCTCACTGGCTCACTGGCTCACATGTGCACTGGCTCACTGGCTCACTGGCTCACATGTGCATTGGCTCACTGGCTCACTGGCTCACATGTGCACTGGCTCACTGGCTCACTGGCTCACATGTGCACTGGCTCACTGGCTCACTGGATCACATGTGCACTGGCTCACTGGCTCACTGGCTCACATGTGCACTGGCTCACATGTGCACTGGCTCACATGTGCACTGGCTCACTGGCTCACTGGCTCACTGGCTCACATGTGCACTGGCTCACTGGCTCACTGGCTCACATGTGCACTGGCTCACTGGCTCACATGTGCACTGGCTCACTGGCTCACATGTGCACTGGCTCACTGGCTCACTGGCTCACATGTGCACTGGCTCACTGGCTCACTGGCTCACTGGCTCACTGGCTCAGTGGCTGACTGGCTGACTGGCTCACTGGCTTACTGGCTCATTGGCTCACTGGCTCACATGTGCACTGGCTCACTGGCTCACTGGCTCACTGGCTCACATGTGCACTGGCTCACTGGCTCACATGTGCACTGGCTCACTGGCTCACATGTGCACTGGCTCACTGGCTCACTGGCTCACATGTGCACTGGCTCACTGGCTCACTGGCTCACATGTGCACTGGCTCACTGGCTCACTGGCTCACATGTGCACTGGCTCACTGGCTCACTGGCTCACATGTGCACTGGCTCACTGGCTCACTGGCTCACATGTGCACTGGCTCACTGGCTCACTGGCTCACATGTGCACTGGCTCACTGGCTCACATGTGCACTGGCTCACTGGCTCACTGGATCACATGTGCACTGGCTCACTGGCTCACTGGCTCACGTGCACTGGCTCACTGGCTCACATGTGCACTGGCTCACATGTGCACTGGCTCACTGGCTCACATGTGCACTGGCTCACTGGCTCACTGGCTCACTGGCTCACTGGCTCACAAGTGCACTGGCTCACTGGCTCACTGGCTCACATGTGCACTGGCTCACTGGCTCACATGTGCACTGGCTCACTGGCTCACTGGCTCACATGTGCACTGGCTCACTGGCTCACTGGCTCACATGTGCACTGGCTCACTGGCTCACATGTGCACTGGCTCACTGGCTCACTGGCTCACATGTGCACTGGCTCACTGGCTCACTGGCTCACTGGCTCACTGGCTCAGTGGCTCAGTGGCTTACTGGCTCACTGGCTCACTGGCTCACATGTGCACTGGCTCACTGGCTCACTGGCTCACTGGCTCACATGTGCACTGGCTCACTGGCTCACTGGCTCAGTGGCTCACTGGCTCACTGGCTTACTGGCTCAGTGGCTCACTGGCTCACATGTGCACTGGCTCACTGGCTCACTGGCTCACTGGCTCACTGGCTCACTGGCTTACTGGCTCAGTGGCTCAGTGGCTCAGTGGCTTACTGGCTCACTGGCTCACTGGCTTACTGGCTCACTGGCTCACTGGCTCACTGGTTCACATGTGCACTGGCTCACTGGCTCACTGGCTCACATGTGCACTGGCTCACTGGCTCACATGTGCACTGGCTCACTGGCTCACTGGCTCACATGTGCACTGGCTCACTGGCTCACTGGCTCACTGGCTCACTGGCTCAGTGGCTCAGTGGCTTACTGGCTCACTGGCTCACTGGCTCACATGTGCACTGGCTCACTGGCTCACTGGCTCACTGGCTCACATGTGCACTGGCTCACTGGCTCACTGGCTCAGTGGCTCACTGGCTCACTGGCTTACTGGCTCAGTGGCTCACTGGCTCACATGTGCACTGGCTCACTGGCTCACTGGCTCACTGGCTCACTGGCTCACTGGCTTACTGGCTCAGTGGCTCAGTGGCTCAGTGGCTTACTGGCTCACTGGCTCACTGGCTTACTGGCTCACTGGCTCACTGGCTCACTGGTTCACATGTGCACTGGCTCACTGGCTCACTGGCTCACTGGCTCACTGGCTCACTGGCTCACTGGCTTACTGGCTCAGTGGCTCAGTGGCTCGGTGGCTCAGTGGCTCAGTGGCTCAGTGGCTCAGTGGCTTACTGGCTCACTGGCTCAGTGGCTCAGTGGCTCAGTGGCTCAGTGGCTCAGTGGCTCAGTGGCTCAGTGGCTTAGTCATACAATGATCCAGAAAACAATACAGCGACTGACCAAGGTGAACGTGAATCAGAGACCTTTGAAGAAGTCGTTGGAAATGAAAGAAATGAGTTTGCCAGACAAGCGATGTTTTACAACATGATATACTGTGTGTCACTCACCGCCAGGCCAGTAGGTTGTAGTCATCTTGAGGTCTCTGCATGTTGCACACACCATTACACGATAGCAGGATGTAGACACAGCCCTCTGTCTATCTATCCCTACCTACCTATCTCTCTCTCTCTCTCTCTCTCTCTCTCTCTCTCTCCTTATGATACCTCTGGCTCTCATATCTATCTTTCTCTCTCCTTTCCTTTTCTCCTCTCTTCTTCCAGCAACATTACTATGATCCAAACAAATCTCGGCCCAGTGACTGATAAGCACCTATATCAAAGAGCATGTCAACCCTGGTGCTATGCTAGCTGCTGGAAAAGTGAAGTGGTTGCTGAAAGTCACACTCCGAAGCAGTCTATGTCACACCTCAATATCATATGATATTATCATGATATGATATTAATAGGCACAATGAGCAGACCAGATACTTCTAGCACATGCCCGGCATCACCTGGCCTGATAATTACCACTCTTATTTTCACCGTCGTTTCCTGCGCTAGCCCGTATCACGTACCACTTGTGCATCTTAGCAATGGCCACTGGCACTTCACTGTCGGGGGGGGGGGGGGGGGGTGTGATAATTGATTTCTGCACGAAACTCACACTAACATCTTAGTGTTTTCGTTCAGTTCTCTGACGACTCTAGCCACTCTAAATATGCTAATAGTATTGACCAATTTCACCGTCCATTCCAACTAAGATAATATGATTGCTTTGACCAAATCCGGGTTCAAACTATTAGCCTTTTCAACTGTGTGGAATGCTCTTTCAAGTCACTTGATGCTTTGAGTTCACCCCATGTGTTCCTCCAAAACATGGACGATACAACTTACTTTCCGGCGATGTTATGCGTATTTCCTATAATTATGTAAACAGCACTAAACATTTTATCCAACAATGTGAGACTCCTTCAGATCAGCAAGTAATAACTGCGACCTCACCTGGATTTCAAAGGTGAGCCAAGGACCCGGTGCGTGTACCACTTTCTCCTGTATTGTCCAAGACTCCCAGGGCTGAATATCAAACACGTTCAGTAGCTGATACATACTGCATGAGGAACAGAACAGGAGAAAGCCGCAAGGGACCCACAACAAGACAAATTTGGTCTGTGCGGGTGTGCGCGTTGCTATGTGCTATGGCAAGATTACAACAGTTACTCTACACTTATTTTTTTAAGTCTATGTGATCTTTTGCTGAGGGGCAGTAGAAACGTCGCTGAGGGGCAATAGAAACGTTGCTGAACATCACATCGGGTCAAAGGTATTATTTTTCTTTTTTTATGTTTTGCCTGTCCAATAAAGCTGCCTGAAAAGGATTTGGACTGTGTTCTTCATCGAAGAAGGAATGGATTGCGTAAATGCAATACAGCAGGCCTCTCATCACCATCAACTTGAACAACTCAACTCACTACTAGAGGTTTGACCCATGCACGTTTGCCAGCTGTGGGAATCCCCCCCCCCCCGCGACTCATTTGCGAGGTCCACATCTGAAACTAGAGTATCGGAGAATACTGGTGGCATGCGAAAGAAAAAAGTCATGTCCAAGTGTTTCCCAACACATTAGTGACGCTGACGAGAACCCGGCTTATTCTACTTTACAGGAACCAAAGGACTAAGATACCTTACAAGTGAGCTGCCTCGTGTGGACAGGTATCATGCAACATCTGAGCATTGCCAATGGTTTGAAACCAGCAAGCCACGCCACAGCAGCAGGTATTCATATACAGTCAACTTGGCTAATAATGACTGCGGCGGATATAATGACAATTCGCGAACAACGACAGAATGGCCATGCCCAGAGCAAAGTCCCATCCAACTGTAATGCATTATAATGAGACTTCGGGTATAAGGACACTTCGCGAATAAGGACACTTTTCTGATGCCCCGCCGAGTGTCGTTATATGCAAAGTTGACTGTACACTCATATCTCAGGCTCCCTTATCCTGGCGGTCCACTACCAAGCACTGCCCATAACCTGCAACCGTCTGTAACTCTGAACCATGCATGTTTCGATCGGGACTGCCAGAGATCTGGCATATAACGTCACTATTTCCACAAAACTGGCAAAAGAGTAGTAATATTTCCACTTTAACTTGCCCACAGGATACATGGTAGACTGAGATGCCCGTAACTAACTTGGAGGTCCGGAGAAGAGAGGTATGAGTGTAGCAAGATTTCACATGAACACTCCGTGAAATCGGCAAGGTGATTCAAAAGTAAACAAAAGAGATTTCAAGGGATGTAGAGGCAACAGATGGTAGTGGGCTAGCCTGATTTTCACAATTTTTCAGATAAGCATGGAAAACCTGCAGTTGGCAACTACATGCTAAAATTGCAACTGTGGAACTAACCTATCATCTTCACCGAATCTCTTCAAACATTTGACCACATCCTCCTGCGTCGTGTCCGGCTTCAAGCCCAGCCGAGTAATTACATTGCTCAGTCTGGAGAGAGAGAGAGAGAGAGAGAGAAAGACCAACCAAACATGTTTTCTTTTTAAGTACACTAATATGCTAGTGCACTTCACTTGAACCCTGCCCGGCATAGTACACACAGCAGCTGGTGCCTGCGTGCACGGCGAGTACACGTACACAGCTACTGCGCTAGTCCAACAAAGGCCACCAATCATATCCGAAAAATGCACGAAGAATACAACTACAGTCAACTTTGCGTATAACGACGCTTGGCGGGGCATCAGAAAAAGTGTCCATATTCGCGAAGTGTCCTTATACCCGAAGTCTCAATATATGTATTACAGTTACATGGGACTTTGCTCTGGGCATGGAAATTCTGTCGTTATTTGCGAATTGTCGTTATATCTGCAGTCATTATTAGTGAAGTCGACTGTAGAGGACCTTTAATGTGGGAAATGCCCGTAAACTCCAATATCGCTGAAATCATTATTGGTTATCTTACTGCTATGACGAAAATATTGGAGAATTCGGCAGTCCTTACTCAAGATTGTACGGTGGAACATTCAGTGGTGGGAAGAAGTATGCCTCCAGCTTGCCTGGTCCTTGGCAGTGTCCATTGCACACCAAGCCAGCGTGAACATGGCAGGGAATAGGAGGAACTTCCTGACAAGACAAGGCCGGGGAAAAGAAGAAAAAAAAGTAGTTCACTAGCAGAGGATGGTTTCGATCCATCGACCTCTGGGTTATGGGCCCAGCACGCTTCCGCTGCGCCACTCTGCTTCCACAGCACAAAGAGAGTCTTTTGACCGTATTCTATCCGAGGTCACTAAGGCTTTCGAAACCAAGTACTGAAGTCTGTATGATTTATTTTATTTACTCAACTCACTCTCATAACATATGCAAACAACGCTGATAAGGGGAACAACCCCAGAGATGAGTATCAGTGATACCCAGCAATTGGCAAAAGTGCAAAAAAAGAAAAGAAAAAAATCGCTCTTCGGGGAAAGGAAATCTAAGGAGGTCTTCAAGAGTACACAAACCAGAATGCAACACTGCATTATGAGCACTGGAAAGCACACATATTCCATACCAAGGCAAGTTTCTTCTGAGTTAAACTGGCTACAAAGGATAGGAAACTGTTGCAATGGTAAATGAGTGTCCTGGGGCTTGGGGGGGGGGGGGGGGGGAGGGGAGAGACCTTTGCAAAAGAGTCCTCACCAGACACCAGAGTGGAACACAACAGAAGTGGAAACTCTTAATTAATGTAGCCTTCACTGCAGTAACGAAACATTGCTGCCCAGCACGGATGCACACACCACTGACAGTACAGTCATGTACATCACAGCCACACTGTATATGTATGAACACTGTATATGTATGAACTATGAAGTGCTTCCTTTACCTTAGAATCAGCACTCGCATCGTCCGCAACAAATGATGGCTTGACAGCCCGGCCACCGATATCCAGAACCTGATAGAAACAAGTTTTTTTTAGATAGTGCACAGGCAGATTAGAGGTCGTTATGTCCAGTTGTGTTTGCTCCTCATAAAATTAATACAGTCGTTCCAACCTAGTCATGTTATCAATCACGTCAAGTGTGGAGATGACACGGGGTTGGGGGGCAATAAGAATGGATTTGATTAGTCGGCTGGGCATGGTTGTACCTTTTGCCGAAGAGCTAATCTTGCAAGAAGAGTCTGTTTAACGTTTCCTTTCCTAACTCACAAACGAATATGGACATCCCAGGACTTGTGGTGACGAAAAAATCACTGATCAAACTCACAATCCAACTAACCTTTGTCAGCGGCCACTTGGTGGCATAATCGCCAAACAGGTCTTTCTCGCACACCAGCAGAGCATCACTAAGAGGCACGTGATTACCACTCGCTAGGCGAAGCCTAAATGGGGTTAAAAATTATCAAGAAACACAAGAACCAAGTATTTCAAGTATTTATTGCTTTACGGGAAAGGTGCAAATGGGAAAGTCTGAAAGAAATTGAATGTCACCACCAGGATATAATTATATCTATCGGGGTTGTAAACTCAACTCATGAGCAAAGCGGTAGATTTCAGAATCTTGAGACCAATCAACTAGTCACAGCATGCACGTTCTTTGACACTCATTAAAATCGAGTCATTACGCACGTGAGGAAAGACGTGTTGTGCAAAGATGTGGTCATCCTAGACTGGAAACTTTCATCTTCCATGCGATCGTTCAAAGCACAACTGTCGGTGTGAAAGACGTGTTGTGCAAAGATGTGGTCATCCTAGACTGGAAACTAACTTTCATCTTCCATGCGATCGTTCAAAGCACAACTGTCGGTGCTTGCCTAATCTAACTCCTGCTCATGTGTCTGGTCTTCATTTTCTTCTTTTTTTCTCTGTTTTTCTTCTTTTTTTCTGTCAACTGCATACTAGTATTTGTTTCGTTTTTTGTTCTACGCCGTGGTTGGCTATCACCCTCTCCCCTCTGATTGGCTGTTGTTTTTTCAGCTATAGGATGAAGCAATAATAATAATAATACCCCCCCCCCCCTCCATTAAAAAAAAAGTAAATTATCGTGTCTGTTCCCGAAGGGAACTCACGACGGCCGCTAACACCTGATAACACCCTCCATTAAGTACTCCAAAATTCTCCAAAATTCTCCAAAATTCTAGCTCTCTCTCTCTCTCATTGGCAGTGCTCAGCAATCAAATTGTACAATCGCTAACCTGGTTATGCCCTCTCCATCCTTCATGACACCATTCTGTGCTTGCGTGCACGACATGATCCACCTGAGAACAATGACATCGTACGATAAGGGCACTGACATCATCGGCCAACGCACAATACTAATGGCAGCTACAGTGATGCATTTAGCAGCCCGCTAACTAAAGCCCATCATCTGCGCCTCATCGTGCCATGCTCTATCGGTATCGATAGCACTAGTGAATAATTATGCACAGGTGATCCCTGCCAGGCCTAGGCTGTTCATGATCTCTGTTGCATGCCTCGCCTGACACGCCTCACGATAGCATTACTCAGAATGATTCATTGCCGGCTGCCCATACATAAATCACACAATAATACTTCTGAAGTGGAAAAGCTGACAGAATCGCTTTTTGCAAATGACACTGTTGCCCAACCATCTTCACAGCGCTCACCATCATGGAAAACAACCTGCTAAAGTGATAACTCTGGACTTCAAGTGCTAGTATGCTATGGAAGTTAGGCAGTAGGTAGGTGGACTACAGAAAGGAAGATTAGCACCATTGGTATTACCCATTTTCCTGCCGGGTAGAGTTCTATCCCTCATCAGTAGAGATTTTGTGTGAGACCTTTCTTTTCACTTCATCGTCGACGCCAAAATGTCACGTTCAAACGCGATCGAAGTGCAGCCAATGTTCAAATCTGACGTTCGAATGCCATTTCCGACACGGAATTGCATGTCAGGCCAAACTTTGAATGACATTGAGCAAAACCTCTCTTATTGTCACTGTCAAATGTATGTATGTGTAATCCCAGCGGAGAGGCTGGATGTGAAAATGCCATTACGAGTACACGTACAAATGCCTATACAAACCAAGGAGCTCACCATTCAACTGGTACATAGTTACGATGATCAACTTTGTCTGCCGTAAAAGCACTATTAGGTGCGATGATGTCTCGACCACTATACATCTGTGCAGGGTAAGAACCAGATAATTGAAAATTCACACACATATGCACACATGTACACATGCACATACATGCACATAAATGTACACACAGGTACACACACATACACACACACACACACACACACACACACACACACACACACACACACACACACACATACACACGCACAGTTTGCTTTCACGCAACCGGAATGCAATGCACACGGAGGATCAACAAACATTGCGCAGTGCGAGACTGCACACCGCAACCATGGTAACTCCATACTCCACTCACCTCTCTGGACACCATTGCCGGTATAGCTAGTAAAACACCATTGTTTTGCAGTATAGTAGTGTGTATATCAACTTGTAGACCAGGTGCAGGACATGCGGTACGCTTCGCCTCCGCCGTACTAGCCATCGTGTTGGGTGAATGCTTGTCAGATAAGCCTAGCTGTAAAGAATTCACAGGCATGCGAGCGCACGCGCGCGCGCGCGCACACACACACACACACACACACGCACACACACGCACACACGCATCGTCACATGCATGCACTCACTCGCGCATGTACACACGTATACACACGCATGCATGATTGCAAACACACACACATGTGCGTGCGTGTGTGCATGCACACACACACACACACACACACACACACTACTACTACTATGTACAACTGCCACAAAATGGCCACGTCGCTCCCAGAAGCGGGAGACAACAGCGAGAAAAAAGAAACAAGGAGAATAATTGAGGTGAAAGGGGACCGTTCTACACATAGCTAGTGTTTCTGTCTTCGGTGGCGGGTGAGGTCCTGCGGGCGGGAGAATCGTTCGTTACATATGCTGCATTGAATGGGCAGATTAGTCCTCTGGTCCTTTCGCAGTCGTTTGCCTCGAGTACAATTATGGCGGTTAAAACCAGCCTGACTCTTCATGCAGCGATCACAGATCGAGCAATGGTGCTGGCAGCAGTCCAAATTCAGGCTGCATCTCGTTGAAACAGCTGGTATTTCGTCCGATGTCACACACACACACACACACACACACACACATGTACATGCGTGCGTGTCACGCATGCATGCACACATACACACACACACACCTGAGACCTCAGACCTGCCCATCGCGGAAGTGATGATAGAGAACAGCTATGTTAGACATAACAACTTGTGCTGGGATTACACCATTCAACAGCTTGCAAGGCTGATGAATTGACCGCCACTATTTTTAGCCTGGTATCCACCACACAGCTGATTGAAGTGACTTTTTCTGGCCAGTGAATCCCTATTTTTCATTTTTCCATTTTTTTTACACACACACACACGCACACACCGTGATATGTAACTATTTCCTTTTTCTCTTCTCTTGCCGTGGATGGGTAGTCACCCTCCCTTAGCTACATCATGTATTACTGCATGGACAATGTTCCGCCTTCTGTGAAATACTTGAAATTAGGGCTGAAACGATTATACCGAATAATCGAGTACTCGTTTGATAACTCTAACGATCGAGCAATCGTTTAGATTACCGATTACGATTATTTTGCTTTTTTAAAATTTGTGTCCAGAAAGTACTGTAAACCCTCGTTTTGCGAAGTTTGAATCAGTTTCCGCTGGGAGTATGCAGTTGCCAGGGGTATGGTTCATGTTCTGAGGCATAGTTTGTGGAAACAGAGTAGTGTTTGCACAGAATTATGACTCTATTTGCTAACGATTATAATCGATTACTCGATCGTTAAGCTAAAGAGTAATCGATACGTGAAAACCCACGATCGTTTCAGCCCTACTTGAAATCTATTCAATTATGAAAAATTGGATATTCGGATATTCAAAAATTGCTTTGAATTTCGTGTCCAACGGTGAACCAGCTCGCCCTGGATTTCAAGTCGAGCACATGTAGCATTCAAGGCCCCAAATATTAATTCCCCCTATTATTAGTAGACAGAATTCCTCTGGCAATGTGAATGCAGCACGCACACCTGCACCTCGGACAATCATTTGCAAGAATGTTTCTTACATGTTTATTGGCACAGCTTTGATCTCAGCAAACTCGTCCACTGCGTATTCCATCCGGCAAACAGAACAGACGAATACAAACACGGTGACAGCACATGCGGCTGATGATCCGCTCTCATTCGTCAACAAGTGTGCCGCTAGCGCGCTATGATCACTCCGCAAAACCTAGACTTGAAGACTTCCGTCGAGTGGAACCCATCAATCATTCAAACCAGCGAGGTGGAGGGGTTGCACGTGACAGCTAGCTAGCCGTAGAACACAGATCAGACCAGACGTAGCCACTGGCACAGTAAAATCCCAAACTGCATGCAAGTCGTTGATCCGGCCGGGTGGATCTGATCAGGATTCAGCCAGGTCTACCATGGCCCATGGGCATGGTCTACACAACGAGTCGACGGTCGGGCCGACTACCGGTATACCGGCTACGTGGAGATCGCCATGCCATGCCCTTGCCCGGGCCTTGTCTTTGATACAATCACGATTCGTATGAGAGCCTGAATGAGGAGAGCTGCTCTATCAGTATCACCAGTCCACATGGTCCAGTCGATCGTCGAAGTCGATGGGACCCCATTCAGCGGAGCACACGCACCACAATCATCGGATTTGGCGACCGTGTGAAGGGGTGTGTATGGTTTAGATTCTGAAGTAAGTGATTGGTTGAGCTCCCATTGTGACCAAGTGACTGAGTGCAGTGGGCGCTACGTGCTCCCTCCTACATCAGTCCATCGATTAAAAATCGCTCTTCATTGCGCCGGGAACGCATCTGATCTAGGCCGATTCGTTGCACGTGTTTCGGAAAGTTCGGAAGAGCAGACTGATCCTTGTGGCGGATCAGAACATTTCGGAATGGCCAACGCCGTGCGCATCTTCACTCAGCACGACAAAATGAGAGCTAGAGAGGCCGCGGGCTGTTTGTTTCGAGAAGACGATATCCTGTTCCCGATGGCGGAGAACTTCTTTGACTACGGTGATCGCGCAGTGGAGCTGTGCGCTATCGTGATGGAAACCGTGGACTATCAGAGCCAGATTGTGGAAGTGGCCGAGTTGAACATTCCCAACATCAGAAAGCATTCGTATGGTAAGCACAAAATTAATAGTAAGTTAGTAGTGACTGTTGTAGAGTAGAACCTGGGTTAAGGGTCAAACAGGATTAGGGATCGGAGACCGGGGGGGGGGGGGGGGGGTCACTTGGCATGTACATTGTGCAGGTGATCCTTATACCGGGATTTAATTTCCGGCCCAAGGGGGGGGGGGGTCCCCCGTCGGTTTCCGAGGAAGCCGTAACTTTTTTCACACCAAACTATTTTTCCGGAGTCCATCTACTCACAAGAAGTCGTTTTGCACACCTTGTTGCCCATCCCTGTACAACTGGGTCCAGCTATGTCCGCGCAGAGTTAGGTGGACCCTTAACCCGGGTTCTACTCTAGAGGTGGTGCGAATGATGTCTGGCGGCTAGTCAGCGGAACCGCTTATGGGCACTGTGTGTATACAGCGTGAGTCATGGGAACTACAAGTACATGTATACAGCGTGAATCGGTGGTTTCCATGGTTTTGCTTGAGCTCATGTTCAGGTATTGTAAAGACGACACAAACTTATACTAGTCTTATAGAGTGTGAAGAAGAGTATAGCGAGATAGAGAGAGCTGGATAGCTGGATAGTGTACACTGTATCAATAAGAGCACTATGGGAAGGCTAGACAGTATGTCTCTAGACATTAATAGGTATGAAAAGCCAGTCATTAGTACTAAAGAGTGAAGTCAACCACAACACAGACAATAGCTTCAGACAATCGTGAGACAAGCATGATACAGATGATGCAACACAAATAACCTCTATAGTTTCAACTAGTACAAGGAAGAAGTCCGAATCCGATAACCACCATGCATAAAGCTAGACAACGCCCAGTAGGGCAAGCAACATGGCAACGTGCGTGAGAAACCGTGACCCGCTTGGTGGTTGCTCGACATAGTGTTCCGGCGTGTGTGTGTGTGTGTGTGTGTGTGTGTGTGTGTGTCACTGTGTGTGTGTGGGTGTGTGTGTGTGTGGGTGGGTGTGTCACTGTGTGTGTGTGTGTGTGTGTGTGTGTGTGTTACTGTGTGTGTGTGTGTGTGTGTGTGTGTGTGTGTGTGTGTGTGTGTGTATGCAATGTCTGGCTAAAAAAGCATTGAAAGGTGATGGAAATGCGACCTTGCCAGCATAGTGAGGGCCCTCAGTGCATGCAAGCTCTCTTGTTTCATTGCCTTCGTCCAGTACCCAGTAGAGAGAGAGGGGGGGGGGGGGGGGGAGTAAACCCGTCTGACCAGCGCGACGAGTTATGGAGCAGAGCGTTGCCTTGCAAAATTAATTACAATGCATGCCAAATACCTCTTTAGCTTTGCCGGTCGCTTCTGTCGCTTTTTCTCTCCTGTATATGCCAGAGATCAATGTACTGCACAAAGAGAGTACAATACATAGTCTCCGCATCTCATTGTGGACCAACATTTTGACCATGCATCTAAAAATGCTTATGTATGTTGCAGGCATACAACAACTCTCGCCTGTGATTTTGAGCCAAACAAAATGCATCCATAATAGCGTACTAAGTATACATTTGAAAAAGGCAGCGGAGAAAAATGCAATCTCTGCATATACAGATATGAGCAAGTCTCCATTTCGTCACTTCACATGTGTTTGGGGGTTACGAAACACAACTTTACAAATTACATGGGAATGATTGTCAATGTGTGTGTGTGTGTGTGTGTGTGTGTGTGTGTGTGTGTGTGTGTTTCGCTGTCTTTACCGTTCTTGCAGATAATCGAGTACTGGTTGTGCTAGTCGAAGACAATCCAGCAGCCTGTGCATGCTGTGCGTGCTGCCCGTGCATGCAGGGCTGCTCGTGCTGCTGTGCCCTCTCTGTGCGCTTTCTCAGCGACAAGAAGATCGCACAGCTGGACAAAATGAGCTGCGTGACACTGGTGTCGGTTGTGTTGAATGAGGGCGGCGCGTACTCGGCATCGCTGATGGCCAAGCAGGCAGCGAATGCAGCCGCCGGTCACCCATGCTGCTGTCGCAAGGGTTGCTGCACTATCCTGTAGTGTAATGCTGGCGCTTGCTACCACATGCATCGGTAGCTGGTACCGGAGCACAACACAAGTCTGTGATGTGCGTGCGTGCCTCCAGATGTGATATTGGGAGCTTGTGCCAGGTTAGTTGTGCCAGGTTAGTTGTGGATGCAAGCTATGTTACTAATATGCGTGCGCGTGAACGGCACAAGACACGTGCTAGACAGTGACAGAAAACCAATCATGACTGCTGTCTTCACCTGGTACACAGCAGGCCTACCGGAACCGGTCCGGTTGGCCGGGTTAACACCGGACCAGCTTTGTAGCTACCAACGCCATGTTTATTGCTGAGGAGGGCATACAAGGTATGTCCCTGGACATACAGTGTATGCCCCTGGCATATTCTACACAAAGTATGGTACGACCGGACCAATTCAGTGAAAACTGCTTCCAGCGGTCCTGCACAGGACACTGGCTAACCGCGCTCTGCTTGGGTGCTCTGATGGACCTTGCATGCTAGCTTGAAACACAGTGTTTGAGATAAAATTGACAACTAGTATTTTATAAATCGTACTGCTTGAATGTGCAGCATGTGCAGTGAATTGGAACACAGTAAGATGACTAGCTAGCCTAGGTGCTGCACCACAATCTTTCACGCACGAGCAAATCACGACATGGATTCCTTGCGGCTGTGGAGTGATACTGTGCGAGAATCTAGCACAACAAGATCAACAAGGTCAGACAGCTAGCTGTCCGAAAATTGAGCAAAACGAGATACAGTGTATATGTGATAACACTACCTTTCTAAACATACGAATAATTATTGGTAATTGACAATCTTACTTTACTATTTTCTCGTCGTTTGTCTCATTGCTACTTGTTCACTGCTTCATGCAACTTGATTTTCATTATTATTAGAAAAAATGATGTTTATTTTGAAGTATCTATTTGCAGGCACCAGGTGCTCGTCACCTGTACTTAATGGAGAACAAGTTCAGAATGTATCTCTATTTCCTTCGGTAAGAAGGGTATGGAATGTGATGTGAAGCTAGGAAGGCATTAGGCAGTACACTGTACATGACTGTACTCTCACCGTTTTACCAAAAGTTACTCCGGTACTTGTAGTTCTAGTTCGACCAATACACCAGCCACAGTATACAGTGGTTATTGGAGTACAGAGTCAACCGATTGGGTAGAGTCAGACCTCGCTTCTCCGGTCCTCGTTTATCCGGATCCCTCGCCATCCGGAAGAAAATTGTTGGTCACCGATTTACAGCATATGCCATGCACACATACAGTATGTGTGTTCAATTATCCGGTTCCCTCGCCTATCCGGATATTTTTGTGGAAAACGGATGTGTGCGGTTAAACGAGGTCTGGGTGTACAGCGCTGCACTATAATCATGGAGCCGTGGCAAAGGCTAGCAGGCAGGGCTACAGAGTACCAGGTAAGTTATGGTCTTTCTCAGCCATGCAGTACTGAGGGATGCAAGCTAGGGTGTACGCCAACCAATCCTGACTTTGTGAATTGTGCAAGTTTGATGCCGCTTTAAAGGTTTTTAAAAGTACTGAGAGTACATTACTGGTTATAATAATTATACTGGTTGAAATATACGAAATATACGCTGCAATGGAGTTTGGGAATTCTGAAGAAATGGTTGAAATATAGCTTAATTTAAAAGCTCACTGTCTCTCTCGCGGTCAGAGCACTCTGACTTTGATGATTTGAGACCTGGTTTGATTGTGCTTTGCTGCTCCCTAGACTTGATTGCGGTAAGTTTGTTCAGTCACTAGCTGTGACATGAGACCCGACAAGGTCGAAATAGCTACTGTAAAGCCGGAAAGTTTAACGACAAAAAGTATTTTTAACGTGTTTGTAATTTTGGCATGATAATGTGCAGAAAGTTTGACGATGGCTACCTGGCCACCCATCTGCATGCACATCTTTACACAGACATCTCAAACCGGCTTCGCGAAAACGTTAGACTTTGTGACTCGTTCGACTTTCAGGTTTTACAGCAGTTTCAAGGAGATTGAGTTCTATACTTCCTTGATTACTCCATTCACACTCGATGTGGAAGAGTGCACACATACTCTCATACAGCCAATGGCAGGAAACGATCATGTCCAGAGAACACCACACAGACATATACCTTGACAAAAGTGGAGAGAGAGAGAGACCATACATGAGTTACAAAAAGCTGGCCAGCAGATTACAATCAGTTACTAATTTAGAAAAGATGCGTTCGTAAGTGATCACAGCAGTATAAAAAGATATGAAAATAGGCCGCCCATCTTCGATTATTCAAGCACCTACTGCAGAAGTACATTGCCTACTGGGTCATGTGTAATTACGTGTGCCCATTGTGTAGTTGATTTGAGGAATGAAAGACTTCTAGCTTGCAGGGTAGATGAGTTGTGTTGAGATTGAATGAACTTGTAGTAAAGTGCTTTCATTGTCAAAACCAAACCGAACGTTGCTGACTACATTTTTTGCTGACCAGCAATGCTGAGCTCCGCACTTCAAAGTATCAGCATGGCACCAGCTGACCAGCACTGCTCAGGAGCTCAACACACGTGCTCCCAAGTGCCAACAAGGAGTGAGACCAGTGTGCAGGAACTGGAAAACAGCCTGAAAACTGGCGCTAGTAGATCTACCGGCATTGCTCAAGCAGTTCACGCAGGGCAGCGAATGCTACATATACACTCGGAGCGATGATATTGAAGGCTGCAGATGCAACTGGTCCGGTCAGATGTGTCGGGTAGATTTGAATCTGCCATACTGTGGGCTGTCGTGGTTTTACAACGCACATGCGTACAAACACACATACACACACGCGTGCACACACACACACACATATACACACACGCACACACACACACACACACACACACACACACACACTCGTGTCCGGCTTGCCTGCATGCCAGGAGATCATGTGCTATGATTCCACTGAGCCGAGCACAGCAGGCAGAATACATCCCCTGCCGTCTTCACGGCTGACGCACTTTCCCTACACGTGACTGATGGACTCAACAGGAGAAGATCTTGATGCCGTGTCATTGGCATGTCCGAACTGCCCTGATCTATCACACTCCTTCCCACTACAAGGCTTACTGCGGCTCTCACTGGCTCTGCTGTGCATGCGGGTGCTAGACCGGCGAGATGACGGGCCGTGGCGACGGCGATCCTTCGAGGACCCACGGAGCAGGCTGGAGTCTGTGTACTTGCCGATGTCGTACTCAGAGTGCCACTGATGCTGCTCCACTTTGCACACGCCCAGACAGGAGCACCGGAAGAAGTTGACAAAGTTCTGCAGTATACCACGACTACACATTAGCAGTACATGTACCAGAAGCAGCGGCAGAAGCAGCAGCAGCAGCACCAGCAGCAGCACCAGCAGCACCAGCAGCAGCACCAGCAGCAGCACCAGCACCAGCAGCAGCAGCAGCACCAGCAGCACAACAAAACAAAGGGCACACACAACAACACAAACATAAATGACATCGAAAAATAATCAGGATTCGATCTGCATTGCCAAACATGTCAATGACACAATATTCAGCACACCCTACGTCAATGCTCATTCAACTAAGTTACTTCAGATACTGTAGAAGTACGTTTTGTTTGGAATTAACTTTCGTTATATTCGTTAGGGGGCACGGAATTTTTCTGAACGTTCGGGGTAACAGACCTCAACCAAAAACGAAATTTAGTATGTAACGAACCTGCTGGTGGAGTGATCTAACGGAAGATTTCATGAACGAAAATTTGTACGTATACAGTAGAGAGAGAGAGAGAGAGAGAGAGAGAGAGAGAGAGAGAGAGAGAGAGAGAGAGAGAGAGAGAGAGAGAGAGAGAGAGAGAGAGAGAGAAGGGAAAGGTAATTTGCAGGCAATTCCCCAAATGACCCTGATGGCTTACTGGAACGGTTTCGCTGGTTGTCCTGTCTTGAGATTGAAATGGTCGTAGCGCGCTCTGTTGATATATTCATTGGTTGTGAAGCCCCTGGAAATCTGCATCACAGCAACATACAAGGGAGCCCATACAACTTGGTACATAGAGATACAGGAGTGTGCAGTCAAATCTCTCTTTAGCAAATACCCTGAGGCAGTAGACAGATTGCTGTGTGTGTATGCGGGGGGGGGGGGGGGGAGTGGTGGACAGACTCCAATGTTTGCAGAAACACGGCAAGGGTCTGAGATGACCGGTCACTAAAGAGATGTCTCTTTGGCTGTGCCACTGGGGTTGTCCACGACAGCTGCAAGTAGATGACCTGACCGACAATGGCGTCAATACCCTGCCTTGTACTTGCATTACATGTTTCATACTCAGGTTCTCACTGCTGTCTCAGCAGATGCTGAGCGTGAACAACGTAATAAAAGATCCAACAATGCTCACATGACATCATGGTACCGATCACATGACATCATGGTACCGGTCACATGACGTCACGGTATCAATCACATGATAATATCATGAAATGCGGTGACATACTTACTTAGTAGGGAGATTGGCGTTGCGACAAAGAGAGAGGGAGAGAGAGAGAGAGAGAGAGAGAGAGAGAGAGAGAGAGAGAGAAAGAGAGAGAGAGAGAGAGAGAGAGAGAGAGAGAGAGAGAGAGATAGAGAGAGAGAGACACGGAGACGAAGCGAGAGATGGCAAAACAGACTGGATGGCTGCTGTAAGCATTGATCATTGACATGGCACGGCGCGTCGAGACGTAAAGAAAGTGACTGCACATGATAAGGATGACTTGACAGGGGCAATGGCCTTGCAACGGCTCTGCCAGAATGGTGGCAGACGGGTTAGCCTGTGCAGGTTGATGGCAATGGTGGACATGGTCTAAAGGTAGAGCAGAACAGGGGAAATTAAATAAGGGGCCCATCTGTAAGTACCGATATTAATTTAGAAACGAAAACTAGTCGTTTCTCTTCAACCCCCCCCCCCCCTCCCTGAGAAACGAACAAATACAAATGGCACATAGAATCGAAAATATTTTTTCTTTTTTTCTGAACGTGCCCACACATACAAACTGTGCGTCGATATTTTTCGGGAAGCGAACAGGCGCTCAACCCCCCCCCCCCCTAAACGACTAGTTTTCGTTTCTAAATAGATATCTACATTAAAGGATGGCCCATAAGCTCATTGCGCAATGACATGGTTTGTACCACCACCACCACCCCACCCACCCAACTGGGTATGGTTGTGTGGGGTATTGAACACTGCGTTGCTGATGTGCCAGCGTACTGAGTAGCTCGCATGTATTACTCATACCTTCCAATGGCAATGCGCAATGGGCGTATGAGCAAGACTGCTGCTGCAAAATGCCTGTCCTAACTAGAGCAGGAGAGGAACAATCTGATGCCAGTTAACGTGCTTGATGAACTGGATGGTGGAGACCGAGACTTTTAAAACAACCAATTGCAGACACACTACAGAGCCACGCCAGTGGCAACATGTTTGTCCCACCTCAACATGGGCGGATCCAGGAGGGGTTCCAGGGGTTCCGCAGAACTCCCTAAATTTCGTAAATGTACTACTGGCAACCATATGCGTGTCCATGTACATGTATCAGCTATTCAGTCTTGAACCCCCCCCCCCCCCCCCTGTAAAGATGGCTGGATCCGCCGCTGCTCAATGCCAGCATGCGCTATACAGTGCTACAGATCAGCCAGTCAGTATCTAAGGTGTCGTCGCAAAAGTTTTTTTTGTGGTCCCTGAAACGAACATGATTCATTTGGGGAGGGAGGGGTGCGAGCCAAAATCGCAAGTCGACCGACACTGTACATATGTCATGTACATGCATTCGATTTTCGTCGTCCAGCATAGCAAGCTGTGTTCGATTCAGAGGAAGGGGAGGGGTCCGAGTACGAAATGAACAATGTTCGTTTCAGGGACGACAAGAAAACTTTTGCGACGACCCCTAAGTGTGCGTGCTGATGCCTTACCTGGTAGAGCTGTGAGGCGAGCAGTGCAAAGATCCACAGTGTGTATAGTATGGACTGCAGGCTGAGAGTAAACACCCACGGTGAGCAAGTGCCAATGGCTGACAGGTTAACCACCATGGGAGCACCACTCTTCACAGTCAGACAGGACAGCGAGTAGTCTGTAAATGGTAGATCCGATGAATAAAGATGCACGCATACACACAGACAGACCGGCGGACAGACAGACACACATAAACTCACACACATGCACACACATGCACACATGTGCACACACACATGCACATGCATGCACACACACACACATACACATGGACACACACACATGGACACACACACATGTACATACACACATGGACACACACATGGACACACACACACACACATGCACATACATGCACACACACCCACATGCACACACATAGACAGACACACACACATACTTTGTGTTATACAGTAGTACATTTGCTCGCTAAATAAATACATAGAGAGACAGTGAAAGACAGATAAAACATTTGCCTTTGGACTACACACGTGTGGGAGTTTCACAGTCCTTGTAAGGGGTATTCGTTTTTGATCTACAGGGTTTCGGTAGAAACTACTACTTTTGGTGGAGGTGCTGATTTGTCCTACTCAAAAGGGTAGATTCTACCTGCACTTTTCTCTATCGGCTCTACCAGGTTTGAGGCTGGTAGAAGTCGGTTACAGCAAGAGAAGCCCAGAGGGTGCAGATGGGTTGATGTCAGGGTGAAATTCCAGGATTAAATCATTTTAGTGACGTAATGAGTACGGGCATGATTCAAGCAGGTTTCCTGTTGCACAACCGCCGCTCAGTGTGCCCACTACGACACATCCTGCCACATATCTGCCTCGACGGTGATGTAATCTCGGAATTTCGCCGTGACAGACATCCATGCAGAAAAGTCAGAAGCTGCACACTCTTGGTCTCATATACTCTTGGTTGTAGTTGCTAGAGGTAGAGGAGTTACAGCAACATCACGGAGTTGTCTACAACCTAATAAACAGTGGAGAAATTCTGCAAAATGAAAAAAAGAAAGAGAAGTAAACGTAGGCAATGCACGTGGAATATGTAGGCAATGCACGTGGAACATGTAGGCAATGCACGTGGAACATGTAGGCAATGCATGTAGAACATGCTAAAAGAGGATACGCCAATTCCGTTGTCTGAAATGAAGTGGCTCGCATACATACATACATGTAGCAGCTCAAATTGTCATGTTGAATAGAATTTCCCTCAATTGTTCGCGAACAGGGATTTTTCGAAGTCGACGAATATTCATAGGTTTGGACTCTTGAGGGACTGACATCCAAACGCTTTCGCTTCCCTGTCAGCGTGGTCAGAGCAAGTGCCAGTGAAAGTGCCGGTAGTGGTTTCTTTTGTTTGCTGTCAAGATGAAGACTGTGTTTTCTGAGGATATGGAGTTAAAATTTCTCGAGATACGGCATTCCATCCTCACAGAAAAGCAGGGGAAGATGGTTTCTCAAAACGAGAAGCTTGACCAAGCTGTTGTTATACTGAACAACTACGCTGTAGAGATTGGTCATGATCAGCTGACAACCAAGGAGCTCAAAAACAAAATGGCAGCGTAAAAAGAAGGCCAAAAATGCATACGAGGCAGTACATGAGAAGATCACAACTGGTTCAAAAGTCGAGGATGACTGCTACCGAGTTTCATGTCATTTCTGTCTTCCTTCGGGTCTGAAACTCCAAGTGGGTTTTTGTTTGCTGTCAAGATGAAGACTGTGTTTTCTGAGGATATGGAGTTAAAATTTCTCGAGATACGGCATTCCATCCTCACAGAAAAGCAGGGGAAGATGGTTTCTCAAAACGAGAAGCTTGACCAAGCTGTTGTTATACTGAACAACTACGCTGTAGAGATTGGTCATGATCAGCTGACAACCAAGGAGCTCAAAAACAAAATGGCAGCGTAAAAAGAAGGCCAAAAATGCATACGAGGCAGTACATGAGAAGATCACAACTGGTTCAAAAGTCGAGGATGACTGCTACCGAGTTTCATGTCATTTCTGTCTTCCTTCGGGTCTGAAACTCCAAGTGGGTTTTTGTTTGCTGTCAAGATGAAGACTGTGTTTTCTGAGGATATGGAGTTAAAATTTCTCGAGATACGGCATTCCATCCTCACAGAAAAGCAGGGGAAGATGGTTTCTCAAAACGAGAAGCTTGACCAAGCTGTTGTTATACTGAACAACTACGCTGTAGAGATTGGTCATGATCAGCTGACAACCAAGGAGCTCAAAAACAAAATGGCAGCGTAAAAAGAAGGCCAAAAATGCATACGAGGCAGTACATGAGAAGATCACAACTGGTTCAAAAGTCGAGGATGACTGCTACCGAGTTTCATGTCATTTCTGTCTTCCTTCGGGTCTGAAACTCCAAGTGGGTTTTTGTTTGCTGTCAAGATGAAGACTGTGTTTTCTGAGGATATGGAGTTAAAATTTCTCGAGATACGGCATTCCATCCTCACAGAAAAGCAGGGGAAGATGGTTTCTCAAAACGAGAAGCTTGACCAAGCTGTTGTTATACTGAACAACTACGCTGTAGAGATTGGTCATGATCAGCTGACAACCAAGGAGCTCAAAAACAAAATGGCAGCGTAAAAAGAAGGCCAAAAATGCATACGAGGCAGTACATGAGAAGATCACAACTGGTTCAAAAGTCGAGGATGACTGCCACCGAGTTTCATGTCATTTCTGTCTTCCTTCTGGTCTGAAACTCCAAGTGGGTTCGCCATTGCAAAGCGTGCAGCCGACAACCAGGAACCAGTGGCTGACGAAGACGGAGACGATGCTCGGGATGACAAAACCCACTCTGTATCTGCCCCAAAGAAGAAGCGATTCACTTCGGACTAGTATACATAGCCGGGCCATAGGTGCGCGCCACATAATTAGGCGCGCCAATACACATTATACGCATTCCTTCTCCGTTCTCCAATGTACATTGGCGATTTTCCCTGGAAAGCTAGAAAATAGCCGAAAATAAATATGCGCCGAATATTTGTTGACTTACAGAAGCTGACAGCGAAAGTCCCTGGTTCGAGTCCTGGTGGCGACAGTCATAAAGGGAGGTTTCGCTCTGCGGAATTACGTATGAAAAGACCGTAGGAACTGCATGTGATTTTCATACGTAAAAATCAGAGCTGTTGGGTTGCGCTCTACGTGATTTCTCCACGACTGCTAAACATGCCATGTTGCTTTGGAGACGCGTTGGCTGCATGCGCTCACCGCATGCACCGCGAACCAAAACCGCGTTTTCCATTTTATTTTGCACGTTGTGTATGGTGTGTGTACCTTGTGTTTCTTGCGGCTTGAACGTTGCCATGGATAAATCCGGAAAATGCGAAAAATATTTCAAAAGGTCCTACGTAGGACCCAACATAGGAAAGAGCTTTCCTACGGAAATCCGTAGAGAGATTTACGTATGAAAGTTGCCCTCGTTCCCCGGCACGTACAACATACGGATTTTCATACGTAATTACGTAGAGCGAAACCTCCTTATTGTCTCTTTTGGTTGTGTTTACATGAGGCGTTTCAACCCGAGTCAAGTTTCAACCCGCCATGAACACAGATTGACTGGATCACTTACACGACGCATTGCGCTTGACCTGGGTTGAAATTTCAACCCTCCCCTTGAGGGGAGGGATGAAGTCAAGAAATCGTACTACCGCACTTCTGCGCGTATCTCGCGCCAGGTTTGAACAGCACTGCACAGGCCAATTTTGCGCGAAAGCATTCACGTGACCATACAGGACTGTAGAAGTGGACTTATGGCAGCATATCAGTAATTGACCCGGGTCAACTGTCTTCATGTAAACACCCACCTATTTTTTTCTCCATCGTACAGACTTTCAACCCGGGTTGAACTCGACCCGGGCTGAAAACTCTCATGTAAACACAGCCTTAGACTTTCCCCAGCCTGCAACTCCCTCAAACTAATGAAGTAACCAATTCCCCTCTCCCTATTTAGTCCCCAGGCATATGAATAATTTATCTTTTAACTACAAAAAAAGTAGAGCACGGTTTTATGGCGCCTCTAGTTTCATGCGTACGCAATCATCAGGCAAAACCGTTTCCTTCCCACCGTCCTGTTTGCTCTAATCGTTTCCCTTCTGTGTCTTTTTTCCTTTGAGAGTAGGGTGTGTGATAACAAAAGCCTTAGTCTAAGAAGCCATTCCAATTGTTCTGCATTTACCCCCCCCCCCCCCCACACACACACATGGGATCAAACGTGCCAAATTCAGTTCTAGTTCATTCCGTTCTGCTTTCAATGAGCCTTTCATGGTCCTTGTGTGTATACAGTGTTTTAAAAGTGATCCGATAGCAGATACATGTACTCCATATTCCATTGCTACAGGTTTGCTGCCATCAGACCAGTACTCACTGTACATACACTGTGATCACGAATGCCACTAGAAGACCCGTTAACAATTAAACTTGGTTGGAGTTCGCCGGGCCTCCTCCATACGCATCTCCCAAGTTAGGATTTTCGGTTTTTGACTAAAGCTGAACTTGAGAGGTACTGTAAATCAACGAATTTGGCCGGTGAGAAACTTTGGCCGATTTCGAAATGAAGCTTTTGGCCGTGATTAAACTTTGGCCGATTGGAGTTTTCAAAAGAAGAAAACAATCGTTGTTGTTGCTCTCACATGCAGCCATGGCTGAATTATGCATCATTCGCCTCTATGACAGACTTTGGCCTGCGATTCACTTTGGCCGGTTGGCACCAAAACATCAGCGAAATTAAATCGCCAGCGAAAATTAGTTGATAACAAGTATAGGAAGTGTACTATTGTATTACTTACATCGATACGCTCCATACATGAAGATGAGGTTGATCAATCCAAGTACTGCCAAGAATTGCACAAAGTAGCGATGATTGCGCTCGCCTGCCAACACATGCAGACACAGAACAGTGGACTGTATCATACAGCAGGGCATGGGATCTGTACTACCCGGTTGAAATGTAGCCATACTTCTTTGTTTTCACGCCAATGCCCCAAGCCACACTGCTACACAGCAAGCATGGTTAAAAGTGCCAAGAACTAGGCAATAGGTCAACGATGAATAGGGCTGATTCTCTATGAAAATGACCTCATTTCGTGCCGCGCACACACACACACAGAGCGCATGTTTTTGCAGAATTTAGGAGCATTGTGTGGTATGAACGCTACAAAAATTAATACAACCAGGGGATGATGGTAAATGTGCAACGTGGCCCTACTCAACTACATGGACAACAGAATCAGGTTAGAAAGTGGCTTCAAGATTGGTCGTCAACACCTGCCAAGCAGACCGATAAACATCCCATTGGACATTACCAACATTTATTATGGAATGTATGAGTGGTGCATGTGAGTACGATGGTATCAGGAATGCACTGTTCAACACCCTACACAACCTTAACCAGGTTGCTGGGCGGGGGTGTTAGTGGTACGAAATGCGTAATTTCACAGTGGGATTATTAATTTTGGTTTACCGGGTGTTAGCGGCTGTCGTGAGTTCCCTTCCAGAACGGACACGATGATTTATTTATTTTTATTTATTTCGACTTACCAACACAATTCATAATAAAAGGACAATGGTGATCGAAGCACGACACGCACTTGTCGCAGTACACACAGTGCTTGCTACGCAGTGGCTTCTTGATCTGTGCAGCATCAAATCAAACCAGACAAATCAACGCACAACATACCACTTAGAAGCCGTCCTGGGTGGAAGACCTTACCGTACTTTGCAGACAACAGTGAGCAATACCTATGATGGCATTTTTCATCTTGCTCGCATGTGAATATTGCAAGGTAACTGAGCAATACCTATGATGGCATTTTTCATCTTGCTCACATGTGAATATTGCAAGGTAACTGAGCTATATCTATGATGGCATTTTTCATCTTGCTACATGTGAATATTGCAAGGTAACTGAGCCATATCTATGATGGCATTTTTCATCTTGCTACATGTGAGTATTGCAAGGTAACCACCACTCTCTTATATTTGAAGCTCACAGCCCAATGTTCACTGCATTGTTTCTGGCCAGATATTCAGTTTCTGTATTCAATGGGAACTGGTATTGTGACTGCCCCAGTGAACCTGATCGGAATCCGGATTGAACAATCCAAAATATCCTTAGCATGCATTACATGTCAACAGACACTCATACACACACACACACACACACACACACACACACACACACACACACACACACACACACACATACACACACACGCACACACACACGCACACGCACACACACACACACGCACACACACACACACACACACACACAACTTACAAAGCATGTCTGACAAAGCTCCAGCTCTACGTTGCCCCCATCCAACACCTTCTTAACGGTCTAGAAGATAGAGACATACAAAGCACGCATATGGGTGTGCTGCGAGCATGACAATGCCAACAACCTTTCATTTCTCTTCTGTGTGTGCACAGGTGTGTAAGTGGGAGTGTGTGTGTGTGTATGTGTGTGTGTGTGTGTGTGTGTGTATGTGTGTGTGTGAGTGGCACACACGTGCATGCATGCGTACATCAATAAGTGAGCAAAGGTGGAGGCTGAAATAATGCGAGGCCCAGGACCAAGAAGCATTGGCGACGATACCGTCAAGCCAACCTATGCGGTGGCACTCGAGCATGGGTGTCTAAACATCACCGCATTCCGTTGGCTGTGCACAACTAGGTGAATTGTCATGCCATCCAGCCAGCCTACCTTGTTCCATTCAGATCTGCTGGGCCGCAAGTAACCTGGATCGCTGGTCACACTTCTGATGTTCCAGCGGAAGAGCAGTATGGTCAGGACGAGCATGGTTATATTCAGACTGAGAATGTTGACATGTGTGCCACGGAACAGAGCAAAGCAGTCAAGGATAACGAACGCAGATACAGCCGTACATTGCATACCTAGTCTAGAGCTGTGTTCTCGTTATAAATGCAACCATTCACTTCATGAGCATGTGCTAAAATTGATGCGCAGCTGGGTACAAGAGAGGGTTTAACCCCCCCCCCCCCCCCCCCGGAAACACCCTCCATGAAAAGCTCCCTTGACTATGCAGAAGTGCATGCAGATCAACAGTTGTGCTGGGCGAAATCCGGCCCAAAATGCAAGGCTGGCACTGTGAAACTTGTTCCGATCACATCACTGTACAAGTATGTGTAAACGTGTACGTCCAGCCGCATTCATACCACTTCCAGGGCGTCAAAGGCCGTGCAAGCTGAGGGCGGGAGATATGCACGTTGTGTCGGATTTCACCGAGCGCAGCTGTGCATATGCTATGGGTAGTGCATGCGTGGAAGAGGATATAAGGCCAGAAGAGGAAGAACCAGGTGACGAACATCCAGAACTTGGTTCCCAGGTAGAGACCATAGAGTAAGGGTTGCTCAAACGCTGGGTGATCCGTGTGCAAGTAGCTACAGATACATATGTGCAAATACAAAACAGAGTTAAACCAGAGTTGAGCAACTGCAATACAGTCAACTTCGCTAATAACGACTGCGGATATAACGACAATTCGCGAATAACGACAGAATTTGCATGCCCAGAGCAAAGTCCCATCCCACTGTAATACATATAAGGCCATCATTTTTTTATATCTATGTTTCGCGTCAGTTCAACTTCCAGAATCATATGCGAGAGGTGGAAAAAAATAAAAAGTGGCAAAATAATAAAAAAAGGCTCATCATCAGAGGTGTATGCACTGTACATAGCACAATAGCTCTTGTACAGATTATCGCCCATTTGTTCGTTCATGCTTAACCTTTCTAGGGGCTCCCGTAAGAAGACCATAGGTCTGTGGGAAACACCCTAGTAAAATAAATAGAATAATAATAGTACGAAGTAGTGGTTGCGACTTCGGCGATGATTTGTAAGAAAGGTTTGCTCCCCACACCGGAGCTCGCGCTATTCCGCCGACTTTACTTACACTTGACTGACTCACGACTGCCATTCAGGCACAATCTTCCTCAGCCTACTCAAGCTCAACTGATGAGGGGTGAATTCCCCGAAACACTGTGTATTGAGCAGGGAGTGGTGCTTTCTTGCAGGTTTGCCGAGTCGAAGGTTCGATGGACTTCTCGTGTGCTCTGGATGGCAGTCGTGAGTCAGTCAAGTGTAAGTAAAGTCGGCGGAATAGCGCGAGCTCCGGTGTGGGGAGCAAACCTTTCTTAGAATAATAATAATCATAATAATAATAACAGCTCGTGCATGGTGTACATTCGAAAGAAAAATCGTACATCGAAGCACAACATCTGGGTTATCAGCATGAGTAAATATTCACTTTGGACAGAGGAGGCAACCGTTGGTGCCTATGCTTCGTTGGATTATTGTACTCAGACTTCAGCAGCGGTGCAAAGACCTCCGGAACGACGCATCCTCTCAGCTTGAGGCTGTCTGGTGTTAGCTCATAGAATATTGCTCGCAGATGCCGAACAAACGATTTACCAACGCTGGCCTCGAGGCCATTTCTGAATCCCAGTTCAGAGGTCTAGCCAGGATTTTATGCCAGCCGGCCAACGTTCTAGTTAAAATGCATCGTTCTGGGGGCTGCGCCCCCAGACCCCCGCCATCAGTCAGTCACGTATCCACACAAACCCCCCCCCCCCCGCCCCCCGCACACACACCACTACAAATCTTGCATTAGAGAGGTTCTGCACAACGAAAGTTCGAACGAAGTTTCGCGACAGGCCTTGCGAAAGTGTGTACGAATTTTCGCACGAACTTTGTGTTCTGCACATTTTCGTAGTTTGCACGCGCCAAGTGCACGTACGACATGACCCAATCTCACGAAACTTCCTACGAAAGTTCATTTCGCGTTCCCTGCAAGTTTCGCGTCCAAAGTTGCGAAAGTTCGTGCGAAGTTTCTCACTTCGTGACGTAGAGCGAAAGTTCGTACACATTTTCGTTTTGCAGAATTTGCATCTCCTTTCGCTTCGTCCAATTATGGGCATTCATCAGGCAGTTGTGACAATGTGATTATAGGTATAGTACAAAATATGAAAAAGGAAGCAAACAGCTACATGAGCATGGATCATGTGTTCACCAACGTCATGTCTGCATGCAGTGTACATTGGTCATCTGACAAGACCCAGCCTAGCCACAGCCGTGTACACCACCAGAAGCAGAGAACCATGAGTCATGACCCAACCTGTTACATTTTACTGACGTACTCAAGTGCATACTCAAGTGCATTTGAGCTTGAGTGAAGAGCTAGCACTGAGCCTGAGTAGCCAGTGCTACGTACTGTACTGTACATACAATGCCTAGGATATGGGTTGTACCAAGAGTCCATATGGACTCTTGGTTGTACTCCACCATCTCTGACTCAACTTGTCTCAAGTGCTAGTGCAGTGCACTACAGTCTACATGGGGGTGACTGCAGCCGGCCAAAATTACCCTTGGAGCTGTCTCAGCCGGCAGGTCGCCCTCCAGCCGGCATTCTGCCGGCTGAGCCGGCTTTGGCTAGATCACTGCAGTTTCGCTGTATGCAACCAGTCCACACTGATGACTCGCAGGATCGTACACTCACTGTGCATGTAAGATTTTTTTATTTTTTTCCGAAAAAATCAAAACGTATGCGTGCGGACGACGCGAAACACAGCTATAAAAATGATGGCCTAATGAGACTTCGGGTATAACGACACTTCGCGAATAAGGACACCTTTTTGATGCCCCGCCGAGTGTCGTTATACGCGAAGTTGACTGTACTACACCGACTACTTTGCAACAGAAATACAGCCCTCATTGCAACCTGCAGCTTCTGTGAAGGACTCGCCAACATGTCCCAAGATAAGATGCAAGTGGAAAACTTGAACTCCCAGCACATGTATTACAAGAGCACATAACGCCAAGAGTGTGCAACTGCCGGCACAATCTCTATCCCAGTGCTGCGACGGCAGAACTACATCACGTGACATGGTTCAATAGATTATGCTGGCAAAAAGTGAAAAGTGACCACAAGAGAGTTGAACCCAAAGCAGGGTTGCGTACAAGCCTGTATCGATCATGCACAGCGTGCAAATAATATGTACGAGTTCGTCACGTGATGTGAAGTCCTGCCATCGCAGACCCTATAGCTGGAGTTGCACACTCTTGGGGGTTATGTACTCTTGATGTAATAGTAGGTGAGTTGGCATGAAAACTGTCGTCACGTTAACATACACATGACAACATTCCAACGCACACATGACATCATGCCTATGCATAAATGACATCATATCAAACACACACACATCACATCACGTCGTGCTTACTCACAAACTGGTCGTTGCGGTCCCCATGGCAATGCAGATCCATGATAGGATCATGAACATCCAGGATGAGAAAGTAGCACTGTATGCCACCAGTCCAATGCAGATACCCGGGATAATGGAACTAAGAACTTGACGACTCTTGATCTACAACAAACAGAACAAACAGCAATACAATGACAATGATACAATGTTGCCTGATGATCGTGACTACGTGAAACTCGGAGTTGGAACACAGCTCCCCCCCCCCTCTCTCTTTGTCTGTCTGTCTGTCTCTGTGTGTGTCTCTCTCTCTGTGTCTCTGTCTGTCTGTCTGTCTGTCTCTCTCTTTCTCTCTCTCTGTCTCTCTTGTGTAATACAATGTCATGTTAAACTATCAAAACTATCAAGCAAGGCTCGCATATAACAAAACAGAACAGTAGGCCTGTTTCCCAACTTGGCAATGCCACACTAGAAAAACGCTAACGCTATTTTCGACGCTATCTACCCCGGATCAGGGAAATGACGATAAAGTTCTGCGTTGAAACCTTATTTAGTCGAAAATAGCGTGAGGCTTGACGATATCTGGTTTATCAGCATTTTTACTGGATGCGTGAGTTTTGACAGGTTTTTGACGGGATCCTGGGATAATTTTTGTACTGCCGCGGAAGTTCAAAGCCACGCGTGTGTGGAGGAAAGGCCTCTTCCTCTTTCACTTTGCTTGTTGTCGCGTCAAGCTAGACTAGCTGTCTGTCATCATGAGTGACCTCATTTTTTGCCAGGTTCCCCGGCGGAACAGCCTGCTGTTGCTCAGCACCACTCACCAGCCAGCTCATCTTCTTCTGCCTCCAGCACCGGAGAGGTAACAACGCCAACGCAGGAGGTCTCCAGAACTCGCTTTTCGGAGAGGAAATTCTGTTGTTTCGGGCGGTCCTGGCACGGGAGTTCCCCTTTGCCCGTGGATCTAAGGCTTGGGAAGAAATTTGATAAAGGAAGACTTTACTTTTATTGAGATCTCTCAGAAAGCTAAAGGAGAGAAAATATTATTTAGTTGATTGTTCCACCTAGGAACACACGCTTCTTGCCATCCGTCGTGAGTCAGTCAAGTGTCAAGTTCGGCAAGAAACGTGTGTTCCTAGTTGGAACAATCAACTTCATGACTATTACCGCCGAAGTCGCAACTTCTATTAAAGTTCAAAATAGAAAAATTGAAATTTGTTCGCATCGTGCCAGGCTGGCAAGGACTGTTGCCATATCCACCATGGCAACGGTTCACGTTGAAGTAGCGTCAGATTGCTAACGCATAAAGTCCATTTGACGCAAAATTCAACGTTCTCTTTTACCGTTTAATAGCGTTATCGTCTCAATGCTAAGGGTACCTACTGTCCTTGAAGAACCTACAGAGGTTATGCAGATGACGCCATGGTGATGAACTAGCAGAATAGCTTATGGGCGCCCATACAGGGCGAGATGGCGGAATCGCTTACGGGCGCCCATACAGGGCGAGTTGACGGAACCGCTTATGGGCGCCCATACAGGGCGAGATGGCGGAATCGCTTACGGGCGCCCATACAGAGCGAGTTGACGGAACCGCTTATGGGCGCCCATACAGGGCGAGATGGCGGAATCGCTTACGGGCGCCCATACAGGGCGAGATGGCGGAATCGCTTACGGGCGCCCATACAGGGCGAGTTGACGGAACCGCTTATGAGCGTCCATACAGGCGAGATGGTGGAAGCTTACGGGCGTCCATACACGGCGAGTCGGCGGAACCGCTTACGGGTGTCCATACACGGCGAGTAGGCGGAACTGCTTACGGGCGCCCATACAGGGCGAGTCGGCGGAACATCGTACGGGTACGGGTGCCCATACGGGGCGAGTCGGCGGAACCGTTTACGGGCGCCCACACAGGGCGAGTTGGCGGAACCGCTTACGGGCGCCCATACACGGCGAACCAATCCTCGCGTGCCATCACTGCTCTTATGGTTGCCAACATCCTCACCCAGAGTTTCAACCTGGGAGACTCTTTGGCAGAGGTCGCCAGCCTGAAGGCCTCTAATCGCAAGGATGTGAAGGCAGCTGCCACGGAAGCCCTTCGGCAATTCAACGCCCGAGCCTCCTCTGCCCTCCAGCACTCCATCGACCTTGGCAGTGAGGCTGGTGCGTCCAGCTGGCTCACGTGTCGCCCCCTCAGTCGGCATGGGTTCAGCTTGTCGAAGTGTGAATTTCACGATGGTCTGGCATTGCGGTATGGCTGGTACCCGGCACGGCTCCCTTCTACTTGTGTCTGTGGTGCCACCTTCTCTGTTGAGCATGCTCTCTCTTGCCCCACCGGTGGTTTCCCGACGCTCCGACACAATGAGGTACGGGACATCATCGCTGGCCAACTGAAGAAGGTGGCACACAGCGTAGAAGTAGAGCCTCATCTCCAACCCCTCACCGGCGAGCTTTTCCGCTACCGGACGGCGTCCACCGAGGATCAGGCCCGTCTGGATGTGGCGGGGAGTGGCCTGTGGGGAGGACGGTTTTAACGCGTTTATCTTGATATACGGGTGTTTAACCCATTCGCTCCTTCGAACCGTTCCTCTTCTCTCGCTGCTCGCTACCAGAGCCACGAGCGCGAGAAGTGTGGCAGGTATGGTCAGAGGGTGCAAGAAGTTGAGCGAGCCTCCTTCGTACCAGTCGTATTCTCGGCCACAGGTGGAGCCGGTCGAGCTGCTTCCGCTCTTCTCAAGCGAATTGCTGCTCTGTCTGCAGAGAAAACCGGAGAACCATACGCAATAGTGATGGCGTTGCTGCGTTGTCGTCTCGATTTTGGTCTCCTGCGTGCCAGTGTTGCCTGCCTTCGCGGTGCCCAGCGGATGCGCCGCGTCAATGATCAGTCTGCTGTCCTCGCAAACGCGGAGGCTGCATCGATTTAAATCTCTTTGCAACTCCTGCAGTTGAAGTACTGAGTACAGCCAGACCTCGCTTAACCGCACACATCTGTTTTCCACAAAAATATCCGGATAGGCGAGGGAACCGGATAACTGAACACACATACTGTATATGCATGTGGCATGTCAAAAGCAGAGACATCGTACATACATGTAGACAGGGCCTATGCAGTACAACTAGCGTGCCCAGTATGTAAAACAAGGGAGAAAATGACAAGTGCATGCAACTGAGTGCTGTCCGCATACTCCCAGCAGGCCAAGGACCTCATTTGCTTGTACAACTCCCTGATACTAGCTTCTGCAAGCCACATGCAACCGGATACGACGAAGCTTTTTGTACACATTTTAACCAGTTTGTACACAAAATCATGCACCGGTATGCGGATCGCGAGGTCCGGTTATGTTGTATGCATAACATATGCCGCACATCGGTAACCAGCGATTTTCTTCGGGATGGCGAGGGACCCGGATAAACGAGGACCGGATAAGCGAGGACCGGATAAGCGAGGTCTGACTGTATCATTATTATCTTGTGTATGTGTGTGTATGCGGGTGTCAGCAGATTTGATAAAAATAATTTTACCCCTCTTGATTTCTCATCATTGTGTTGCTTTTAATTTTGCCCATGAAAGAGGCTGTTGGATTCTTTAAAAAAATACACGGCGGTCGGCGGAACCGCTTACAAGCGCCCATACAGGGCGAGTCGGCGGAACCGCTTACGGGCACCCATACAGGGCGAGTTGGCGGAACTGCTTACGGGCGCCCATACACGGCGCCGGTGAGTCGGCGGAACCGCTTACGGGCGACCATACAGGGCGAGTCGGCGGAACCACATACGGGCTCCCATACAGGGCGAATTGGCGGAACCGCTTACGGGCGCCCATACACGGCGAGTCGGCGGAACCGCTTACGGGCGCCCATACAGGGCGAGTTGGCGGAACTGCTTACGGGCGCCCATACAGGGCGAGTTGGTGGAACCGCTTACGGGCACCCATACATGGGGAGTCGGCGGAACCGCTTATGGGTGCCCATACGGGGTGAGTCGGCGGAACCGCTTGTGGGAGCCAAGTGCATGCATACAGCATGAGTCAGCGGTTTTCGCTTGACCTAGTGCATGCATCGCTGTGCACATGTGCCCTCGATTTTGCCAAAGCTCTCGACTGATGACGTAATAGCATAACCTCTGTGTAATGCTCCGATGGAGTGAGAGTGCAGGCAAGTTGTGACAAGGCCAACACAATGCTACCTATCGATCCAGGGAACGATTGCAGTAGGAGCTTCCAGTCAACAAACTTTGAAGCACAGCGCAAAACAGCCCGCTGAGAGAGGTAGGACTTTTTGTCCGGTACACAGTCGTAATGCAGCAGCACATCCTCGTGCAGCACACAGGTGTTCAAATTCCACTTGACCAATCTAAAGGTGCTAAAACGCATCATTCATGCTATGTTCACTGGGCCTTGAACTTTTAGTACTTTGACTAATTTTTCATCGAATCAACTAAGGGGTCGTCGCAAAGGTTTTCTGTCGTCCCTGAAACGAACATTGTTCATTTCGTGCCCGGACCTCTCCCCTCCCTCTGAAACGAACACAGCTTGCTATGCTGGACGACGAAAACCGCATGCATGTACATGTCATATGTACAGTGTCGGTCGACTTGCGATTTTGGCTCGCACCCCGCCCCAAATGAATCATGTTCGTTTCAGGGACGACAAAAAACTTTTGCGACGACCCCTAAACTGTACACAGTGCTGACTCAGTCCGGAATTCTAATTCAAAGCCACAGTATCGGCATCGTGAAGGGCAATCAAGAGATATTATATTACTTTCATCAACACACTCAGTATATCTGTGGGCAGCGCACCACTCACTCACGGGATCAAGGCGAAGGCAGTGGAACAGTGCGTTGACAGTGTTGGCACGCTGGTCCCGCAGCCGCTTCACGTTGAGCAGGGTCTGGTTGGTGGCCGTGCCGGAGGAGACACACTCGAGAGGGGTAAGTCCCTGAATGGGCACACGGAATACACAACAGAGGGGTAAGTCCCTGAACAGGCACATACAATGCACACCAGAAGGGTAAGTCCCTGAATGGGCACAGGGAATACACAGCAGAGCAACCGGAAGCAACAGGTGAAGATGAGGAGACAGGAGAGAACAACATGTCCACTACTTTAACAGAACACAGACAAAGAAAACTGAAGCAACAAAACAAATGTCATATTGGCCGGCAAATGCAGCTACCACAAAATTGATCAACCATAATTGAGAGAAGAAAAACTCAAATTGCAGCGTTCTTCGCCAACCAGTTGACAATCAGGTGACTGGGTCCTTAGAAACGATGCTAGAGATGAAACTGAACGTGGCAATGTAAGATATAGACTGGCATGTCGTCACCAGTGCATGGTATGAGGCGTGTACGATGCTAGAGATGAAACTGAACGTGGCAATGTAAGATATAGACTGGCATGTTGTCACCAGTGCATGGTATGAGGCGTGTACGATGCTAGAGATGAAACTGAACGTGGCAATGTAAGATATAGACTGGCATGTCGTCACCAGTGCATGGCATGAGGCGTGTGGATAAAATGCGGGAAGAAATTCTACAGTTCACTTGTAAACGAACGGCATATACCGGTGAACAGCATTGCTACATGTACATGCACAGTGCGTATTGTGACGATCGACTGGCTGTGCTACCATCACAAGAGATGCAACCTCAGGCAGCTCAACAGGTGCAGCAACCCTGGCATGCTCATCACACCCTCTTACTATACAGTTACTGAGGATTACTTACCGGCATCCCCCCCCCCCCCCATCCACCCCTTAAAACCAGAACAACCATTGCACCCCATGCACGAAACACATGGTCATTCTCTTCCCTGCATGTAAGTTACATGCACACGCAACTTACGCACGCACACACACACACACACACACACACACACACACACACACACACACGCACACACATACTGGTAACATACAAACTCACAGCAGCATTAGTGACGTCCAGCCTAACACCAGCCTTGAGCAGTTGTTCTATGGCAAGGTGATTCCCTTCCTGGATGGCTAAATGGAGAGCTGTACAATAAGACCACCAAGTCAAACAGTGAGTGACATGTTTAGAAGCGTGTGTTTCGAAATAAGAGCGCATGGTGGTGACGGATTGAGAATATAGTAAAGTGGAGTATGGCCGAAAGCTCTGTCGCAATATTTTATTGTCAAGCTTCGAAGTCGGAGGAAAATGTTGAACGGACTCTGCTGGGATGACAGCTACACCATAGCTCAGTGGTTAGACTTAGAGCATCGCTGGCCTCAAGCAACGGTCCGTGGCTGGAGTTCTGGTGGTGACAGTCCATTTTTTCTTCAGACTTTTCCCCTTTCTTCCATTGCCTCAACACATGAAGTCAAACAGCGTAAATCTATCATCACTGTCCAAGTGTCACATCAGTGAGACGAACATCGGCACAGGATGGTGGTAGCAATCATGCACCGTATGCTAGTACCGTAAAGTACCGTTGATCCGCCCCCCACGCCATGTCGCTTCCCAGCTGGGTTTTCAGCAGGGGGCGGGAATTAGATCAAGGCTGTCAAGTGCAGTACGATGTACAACAACTTGGAGGATCAGACTCGATGTGCTGGATTGTGCACATTTTCATCCCGCACTGACACGTTTTGTGTACAGCAGTGCATGCGTCGGTTCAACATCGTATTTCGTTGTATACGCCAAAGTCGCTTCATAGGTAGAAAATCGACCGGGGGCGGGAATTAGAGAGGGGGCGGATCAACGGTACTTTACGGTAACCGTTATTCCGGAGTATAAGCAGCACTGGAGTATATGCCGCACCCAGACGTTTCGTCACGCGATACAGGCAATCTGACATCGACCCTATTTATCACCATCGTAGTATAGGGCGCACCGACTATTTTGGGTGAACTACTGGCTTTTAAAGTAGGGCTGATCGGGTAATGAATTCAGGTAGTTCTGGGTTTTTTTTTACATAGTTTGTACAGTGAGTGTGCACTTGCGCTACATAGAAAGTGTACAGCACATAGCCGTGCTTTTTACATGCACTATTTTGAAAATACCGTACTCCCACTACCCGATCGGGTTCTCAGGAGCAAACTGCTACCCTAATACCGCTCTAATTACGGGTAGCACCCTACTACCCGTTGACACCCCTATTTTGAAGTGTGGCTTAATTCTCCGGAAAATACGGTAGTCTCTGCAGAATACAATTGAGAGGCGTACGCCGGGGTAGTTCTGGGGTAGTGTACTTACGCGTGTTTCCATTGACCGTATCAACTGCCTGAAGTGCGGCACCGCGACGAATGAAAAATTGTGTCATCTCACCCCTGAAGTAACGCAGCATGGACATACGCACAAACAGACAGAGGGACGGGCGGATGGATGGACACACGTAGATAAACAAGCGTACACACATATAAACAGACAGACAAAAGGACGGACAGACAAAAGGACGGACAGACAAAAGGACGGACAGACAGACGGACAGACAGATACACACACAGATAAGTAAACACACAGACAAACAGACAGGCAGAATAATGGACAAACACACGCACACACACGCACACAGAAAACAAACAAATACATGCACACAGACAAACAGACAAACAGGCAGACAGAAGGACAGACAGAAGGACGGACAGCCAGACACACACACAAACATACACGAAGACCAACACACACATGCATGCCCAATGGCAACAACACATGGAACAGACAGTAGCACATTGCCGCAAACACTCACACCAAGAGCAGAGTGTGCAACGCCTGATCCAGCTCTGCATAGGGTCTTGGTCGAGCGTAATCGGATCTTCTGATGTCATGCGTACACTCCACACCAGCGCAAGGCCGGTCTCGAGGCAGGGCACCGTTGTTTTTGATCCGAGAGTACCCGCGACTCCCCGGGTTCCCCTCAGTTGTGTACGGTATTATGACGCAAAGATCCGATTACGCTCGACCAAGACCCTATGCAGAGCTGGATCAGGCGTTGCACACTCTGGGGGGGGGGGGTTATGTACTCTTGCTCACACACTACAAGCACTGTACCAGTCAAACAACGGACCTGCCATGACTACAGCCTTCTGCACTCCACGGGTGTATCAACAATTGAGGTTCACCATGATCACCTTAGGTTTTACTGTGTTTGATTAGCTTCGCGAACATTGCGACATGGCTTCATTGTGTAATGTTTCCCGAAAAAGAGGCTATAAATTTGGCGTGTCATCAATTAATATGCTCAGAGCTGCACTCAGATAGCATATCTATATCTTCCCTCAGAGAATGACATTTGCTACTGTCAGCAAACTGGCTTCACCTTACCTTTTGGAAAAGCGACAAGCAATCATCAGTGGAGTCATGCCTTCGGTATCTCTCACATCAATGTCCTGCAATAACATCCAAGGAGAACGACAGAAACAACAAGAGCAACAATAAGAGCAACAACAACAACAACAATCTCTTATTGGCCACAGGCCATCGTGAGAATAAGATTCGAAACAACAACAACAACAACAACAACAACAACAACAACAACAACAACAACAACAACAACAACAACAACAACAACAACAACAACAACAACAACAACAACCACAACAACAACAGCAGCAACAGCATCCACAGCAGCAGCAGCAGCAGCAGCAAGAACATCTCACTCCACAAAACAATTTGATTTGCAATCTCCAATCGACCTACACACACTCTCTCTCCCTCCCTCTCTCTCTCTTTTGTCCCTCTCTCTCTCTCTCTCTCTCTCTCTCTCTCTCTCTCTCTCTCTCTCTCTCTCTCTCTCTCTCTCTCTCTCTCTCTCTCTCTCTCTCTCTCTCTCTCTCTCTCTCTCTCTCTCTCTCTCTCTCTCTCTCTCTCTCTCTCTCTCTCTCTCTCTCTCTCTCTCTCTCTCTCTCTCTCTCTCTCTCTCTCTCTCTCTCTCTCTCTCTCTCTCTCCTCTCCCTCTTGGTCTTACCTGTCCACACGCTACCAGGTAGGCAACAATCTTCCAGTCACCATTGTGTGAGGCAAGATGCAGTGGACTTACACCTGCAACAAAAGAGGTACATGTACATTCATATGATTGAGATGTGAGAGATGATGGCCACAGGCAGCAGCAGCACAACAACAACAGCATAGTCATAATACACTCTCAATTACAATCGCTTCAGTAGCAACGCAACACACCGAAACAGCTCACGGCACCGGGATAGCTCATTGGATATGTTCGTGTCAACATTAGAGTTGACGTGACTGAATCCCAATGCCACTATCACGGGATGAATCCTGCCATTGTGTAAATCGCCTCTAAGAGGGGTACCCTAACATGCTTTACTTTATGTTGAAGCATGGGTTCAGGGCTAAGAGGATGGCCCGTTCTTTGCAGACTGACAGGCTGTTACTCCCCACACTGGCCGTTAAGTAGAGGTTTTACCGTACTAGTACTCACCGCACCTCTAGTATAGCTGCAGGCTGCATGTCAATCTCCTTACCGTTGCAGTCAGGAATGGAAGGATCCGCTCCACTCTTCATCAGCAACATCACGGTGTCCAGCTTTGCCGAACTGGCAGAGTGGAACACACGCATACACACACACACACACACACACACACACACACACACACACACACACACACACACACACACACACACACACACATGTACCATGACACAGGGCACCGACAAAGATAAACATGACCGCTTGTTAAAGCACCGGACACACTTACATGCGTGCAATGTGTAGATTGAGTGTGCAAAGCTCTTCACTCCCCCAACTTTCAAAATGGTCTCTTTACTGTGAATAACTTAATTAACTTTGCATTCCACCAGATTTTCGGGCTGGTCCATAACCAGAGTGAAAAATGAGTTGGAGAAGTGAAGAGTTATACATGTGTAAGTGGCTGTGTTGGAGTTTACGAACTACTCGAAAAGTTGTGGCACACCTGTAAGTAAGCTGATAAGCGATGAAAAGACCAGCTGAATCGACATGTATAACGGCTTTATTTTACTTTGAAGAACAAATGGAATGCAAGTTTCTCATCGTGATTACAACTGTTGTCATCTCGTTACCTGTTTAAAGCTGCAGGTATTACGGTAAAGCTCAAGACAATGCCCACTGTCCCGCTTTCTCATAACTTACTACGTAGCCCAGTAGAGTGGCGATGAGCGCAAGTTTCCACCGACTGTATTCACATCACAACCGTTGCCGAGTAGATACCTGCGCATGAATACACATGCATAGACACAATTGCACATGCATAGACACAATTGCACATGTATAGACACCATTGCACATGCACACACAACATGAAATGATGTGGGCTTCACTTCCCTTCTACATTGTGGTTTGAGGGACAGTGTATGCATGTTTGAATAAGGCCTCGTTGGTCTGGACTGCATTTTGCGGTGAGCAGGTCAGAGCCTTGAAAGTGATCGTGAAGGGACCTCGTGTATATCGAGACACATGCACTAGTTACCTTGGCTTCGCCTCGGTTTTTATACTGGAGTATATATCTGTACATACACTCGGTCCCTTGTTATAATACATGGTAGCCGGATGCTACAGCATGCATGGGATGGAGCCGTCCTCGACTCAGATTAACTCTTGAGAACGTCAGAGGCGCATCATATCAAGATGTTTGAAGATTTGAGAGGTTTTATTTCCAAGATTTCAGACATTTAACAATTTGGCAATATGGCGAAATGTTTGTACGAGCAGATTTTCGCCCACCAATACAATTATAGTACGAACGTATCCGTCTGTTCTCACCTAACTACATCACATCTGCCATTGATCGACGCCCAGTGCAGGGCGAGGCATTTTCCGGGGAGAACATTGCCCTTCTCTGTCAATCGCCTCACGTCTGTAAGGTTTCCGGATCGCGCAGCATCTTCCAGTTGTTCCTGGGGCGTTTTCTGTTGGTCTGAAGCACTTCCCTCCATGACTGTTGCTCACTAATTCCGACTTTCACACTACAGCCAGGAAGATGGTTGTATTCCTCATCGAAAACATAGCGCTGTGTGCATGCCCTGGCCAGAAATCCGAAAACTCTATCACCGTGCAGACCTACAAACATGCACTGGATTTGACAGCCTTCCGAGTAGTTGGGCTGCTTTTCGAAAGTCAAACACAGGAAAGTCAGGGCTCACCACGACCATACAAAGCGTCAATAACGGTCATTTGGATTTGACCAATCAGCGCGCAGCAAAACGGGCTGTTTCTTGCAATTGTGGGGTGTTTTCTGAGTGGAGCTTGGCTGTATTCGTTGGTTTTAGACATTAGGCCATTGTGGATTCGTGTTCAGAAGGTGTGTCTTTGGGGGGTTACCGTCTCGAATTTTTCGATTTGGCCTTCGTTTGGCTGAGATCGGATGGTGAAATCACTCAAACGCGAAGGCGTGCAAACAAGTGAATGAAGAGAAAATTAGAAATCGGGGACGGTAAACCGATAGAGAATTCCAAGACCTTGAAAATGAGCTATCGATGATGAGAATCGGCCAAGGAGAACCGCTGTTCTACTTTTTTGAAGACATCAAGGTCGGCCGTGCGTCGCCGCGCGCACCAACAAAAACTGGCAGCCGTGCGCATATCTGCAAGTACAAGAAAGGGCGGAGGAGACAGCAAGGCAAGCGTTCCAAGTGAAGAGTTTACCTTCGTGTTGACTCAAGCTAAGGACTCATGCCAGTCAGGGATCATACTACATGTAGTCACCTCTCATCATGGTCATGACTAAGGGATTCATTTGTGACAAGGAAACTCCCCACTCGCAGCGTGAAAGCTGCGAGGCCAAACAGAAAAGAGTGTGCCGAGTCGCGATCAGGAAACGCTGAGTTCTACTGACAACATTGGTTAGCTAGGCGCGGAAAATTCTTGTAGATGCCAGGACTCAAGTTCACCAGTACCCCACGGACATATCTTGGTCGACACCCACCAGCGGATTGAGAAAAATGACCAAGATTGCTTGGAGAAAGGACGTCTTCTCCGCGTGTCTTTCCCGACATCAAACAACAAGATTCGCTTCGGCACTGGCCCTTCGCTGTACAGAGTAGACCAGGAAGTCGTAAAATACCGGTATTTTACGACTAGACTGTACATCGCTGTACATCGATGAGCATGAACTCGGGTGCGTAGCCGCTATGACTGCACAAACTCTGGCTTTGGCGGCATTCAAAATGGTGGTCGACGCTTTTTGAATTTTGTATGGTCGTGGTGAGCCCTGAAAGTCGTACAACAACGACGTCGTTACGTACGTGCCAGGTAGCTGTCGTCCAGGAGACCACTGCTTGCTCAAACTCACCCCGAGAATGCTGGATCATGCCCAAAAGCAAGAGTCCATAACCCCCGGGGGGTTATGGACTCTTGCCAAAAGGGATCTCAAAACCAGGAATGCCGCATGCATGCTTTTAAAACCACGTGTGTCCTTTGCCTTTTAAATAATTGTTGGGCTTTTTGTTCATTCGTCAAATTGCTTTGCTCTGCCTACAACATTATAGGCTATGCCGGGCTACAGACTCAGAGCCAGCCACAAGCTTGCCAGTATTGCAAGATCTAAAACAAGTACTATCCGTCCCCGGATCGTGGAAGAGTGTTGTCCTCTTGCAGCTTGGCGGTTGGATGTTTTCGGAAAGTGTGATCAGTCAGGCACGTCAAAGACCAACTAAAAAAAATACTTTGAAGTCCTGTATCTAAGTACATGACAAAGCTCAGCAGCAGCAGCAGCAACACCCATCGCCACCGCTGCCCGCGCGCTGGCGTCAGCAGCCACAGAAAAAAGAGTGTACATCTCGTACGAGTCTCGCCAGGGCTAGGGGACTGAGAATCGCATGGGGAAACTGTTTTAGTTTCCGCGTAAGTGTTCAGGTTACAACAAAGAGCTGAACACGCCATGAAGTAGCAGAGACAACAACGAAACTTGAAAGCAAATTGAGTAATGAGCAGGAGTGATTCGCTAATTGCAAAAACAGAAGAAAGTAATGAGTTAGTTGAAATAGTGAACTGCCCTATGTTTCATCAAGAGACACTTATCTTAGAGGTACAACACCTGTAGAAGAAAGAAAACTAAAAAGCTACTGGGAGAAAGGTTTACCTATGCCATAAAAGCTCTGAACAAGA